TTTTATTTTTCTAAGATGCTATCGTACTATTCAAAGAAAAGGTAAAAGATATTCTTTATTCTAAAAGGATCATCTTGACTAACCAATCTTTTTTTATTAATTTATAGTGTAAAACACTTGCTGATGAATAATAGCTGCTACACGGTCTATAAAGAAAGATTATATCGTTTAGTAAGGCTGCTGTGGTAAGTACTATCATGTATATCCCTATCAAATGAGGTCTTTAAAGTCTCTCCTTTGCTGTTTACATTTGTTACCCTTATTTCTTACTGTAATATAATAAAAACCGTATTTTATAAAACAAATACCATTCTTTTTCTACCAATAATAACTGGTAAAGAAGTGTTCTAATAAGTCAATTATAAAAGATCTAAAGAAGTATATGTGCCAATAATAAAGCTTCATCTAAAAAAAAGCGCCAATAGTAAGCTCATCATCTAAGAAAAGAAGCCAATAAGCAATGATTAACAGAATGAATCACACGTTAAAGAGCCAGTAAGAACGCGTATAGGTCCGTGTTTTTGGTATACATTACTCCCAATTACATCCCAATTACATCCCAAAAAGAATTAAATAGGATCCAGTGCATGACTTTCAGGTGACCATGGAGATACGTTCTTCCTTGCCTTGGTGGTAACTGATTGGTGGGATTGGCTGTACGGCAAGAAGTTAAAGAAGTACATGGTGAAAAAATCTAAAGAAGTGCCGGAGTTTAAATTCAGAAATTTTACGTCACTGGAAGTTTGGTCTTTGAACTCCCGCTCTATTCAGGGTCAGCTCGCTTGGTACTTCTTGTCGATCTCAAGTCCACTTTCGTACAACAGTGTTGTATTCAGCTTTAGTGTTATTGAAAAAAGGCTATTAAGTCGATGACTTGCGAATTAGATTCTTTATTAAGAATGTTGTATTTGGATTTGGATAGGTTTAAACAAAGTAGAAAATACGATGAGACTGTGTTGTATTGTCATTGTCATGTTTTGACTTACTTAAAGTACTACGCCAAGCCGGTTAAACCTTTAGAAATGAATTATAAACAATTGTACCTGAATCCGATAGGTTACCAACCTGTACAATAACCATTGATGAGGTTTTAGTTTAATAAACGAATCATCTCTGACGTGTTTGATGAGATAATCATTATAATAACTCGAGTATAATCTTACAGTATAGCATACATTCTACTTTACATTCCTCTATCGCATCTGATAAGAATAACTTATAATAACAACTATAGTAGCTACTAGTATAACAATATTAATATAAGCATAAATAATGTCAGTGACGACTATAATATAAATAGCAGTCATAGATTCTCTACCCAAGTAAACTCTCACACAAACTTAATATAATAATATTCAGCTCTTCTTAATAAAGAATTTAATTCGCAAGTCATCGACTTAATAGCCTTTTTTCAATAACACTAAAGCTGAATACAACATTGTGGCAGGGAAAGATAACCATAGTCAACTAAATTAGCGTCAAACATAATCAGGGGCGTAACTAGAACAAAGATGGCAAAGTAATGGAAACATAAAATAAGAATATTTTGAATCTGTTGTTGTTATAAGTTGGACATAATATAGAATAAATTGTGCTATAAAGCGTAAGCAGCATTATCCATTAGGACAAGGTTTACCCATGATCTGCTATTGAATTATGTGTAAGGAATAAATACTTTATATGAATTAATTGTATTAGAAGCCCTAGCTTGAATAAATCCAATGATTGACATTAAGTCGCATTGAGATATAAAGAGAATCTAATGATCTACAGATTTTATAATAGAGCTTTTCTTCATTTATGATAATATAAACCTTCATACTATTTTATTCTACAAAAAGACTTGTAAAGGTTCCTCGGATCAGTATCTCTCCTCACTGCCTAGGTTTCATATCTATCTTTAACAACTGGTCATGCACATGATGATGTGTCGACTGAATTAACAATGTACTTTCTTATTAAATAAGATGTTAGATAATACATTTCTACGTGAGATCGTGTCATTCTCAGCATCCACAGTTTAGTCACCATCTAGATATCGTGAATTAACCAATGAGCAGTACTAACTCAATAGAAGATCTCCCCAAAAGTCGTGTATCTCAAAAAGTATAAATAGAGTCCTTTATTCTATGTAATTTGTTCTTCGTCTAACTTTCTCCTAATAAAGCATTTCAAAGTATTTTCTTGTTTGTTTTATCTGTTAAGAGAGTTACCCTATCACAGTCTTCAGTATAAAAGTTGTCAGAAACCGCCCATCTGTAAGGTAATACTATGAAATACTACTTCTAATAGACATTATAACTCATTATTTCTTTTGTTAGTGCTTTTTGTTTCCATTTGATAGTAAGTTCTTTGAAGGCTGCTGCAATCGACTGAGCTAGCTATCGCTATATGGCGCTCCTCAGCATAGGCAGGCTTACTATTCACCTTGGTCGAGAGGTTCAATCAGGCAACATGCCGCCTATCTGCTGGCTTCAAGTGGTTTCTAGCTGTCGATGTGCAGCCAATACCAGAATAACATTCAAATATTTTTAAACCAATAAAAGAACATATTTTATAAGTCAATAAAGGCTCGTTATTTCCTTTTATGGTATAAATATTGTTGATTTCTTTGCTGATAGCTCTTTTTTTTTTTTTTTTTTTTTTTTGCAAAATTTTTCGATGGGTGTGATATGATGCCATACTTTGAACAATGGTGGTGCGCCAAGAGCTCTCCTATACTTTCCGCATTCCTTGATTGCAATTCATCGTTTTACTAGATCTCCTTTTAATATTTCGCTATTCTTTTTGTCTTTTATAATTAAAGCAAGGTTATTGACTTTACAAAGTTATTCATTATGTGAATGTTTGTTAATGTGAACGATTATTTCTCCTAAATCAGTTTCTTTGAGCTGATCTGTTCAACGGGCCAAGAATCGTTAATGAAGCACAGGTATACCGTACATTTGGCTCGTTATTCCTAGAAGTATTTCTATATAAATAAGCAAAGTTACAGCTGTTTAGAGCCACTAGTAGGTCATTTGCTGACTGTAAGCAAGGAATCAACACGGTCAGATCCTTTATTGGTCATGATATTCTATGATCCTCATACAGACGCACATATACGTAAACTAACTAAGCAAAAAGGTTGATTTATAATACAGGCTTGATCAAATAGATATATGAATGTCGCGTAAAGTTCGCGTATAATAAGCGTTTATAACTGTTGCTTTAGTGATTCTTTGTAGATTGCATAGCTTGCAGACGCAACAGACGATCTCTTTCAGCTTGTAACATTTTCATTAAAGTCATGGATTCATAATCATAATCAAATACATTCGATGATACAGTCTATGAGAATAGTCAATATCAGTTTAAAGCATGAAAAATAGGGGTACTTACATTTCCAGAGGGTATATCTTTGGGTTTAAAAAATGACTGTTTCGAGCTTGTAGCAAATAGCGGTTTCCCTGTTGCTGAAGTATGTCTATCATTTGTATTAAAGTATGCTGCCCTAGCTTGTCTTTTCAGTTCGTCAGCCTTGTGCATCCTTTCTACTAAAGCTGGTGGCTTTCCTGTTGCCCAATCTATACTTTCAAACTGTGATAATGCAGGATCAATGCCTTTCTTCATGATGATACTATGCTATAGTCTACGTTAAACACTGTACAGCCACATCATAAAGTAAGTAACTTACTGCGTCCACAACGGTCTTGAATACGACAAGAGCACTGCCTTTCTTCTTTTGCGACAACGCCACCGTATCAACCTTTCCGATTGGATCCAATATACGTTCCAGATCCTGTTCTGAGAAGTCATATTTTTTGCGTTTCCACTTTATCTTGAGTGCGCAGTCCAATTCATTAGGCTCTGTCACTATAATATAATATATGTATAGATTAGCTTTCCCTTGATCATCTCAGCCTATATCCATCTTACCTTCTTCCGCCTTTCTGTTTTCAGTATTCCAATCTTCTTGTCGTCTCTTTGCACCTTCTTCACGCAAACGAGCCAAATGGGCCTCATATTCTGCTTTTGCTTGATCTTGTTCCGAACGTGCCTTTTTAGCTTCTCTTTCTCTTCTCTCTAGCTCATCTTGAGCGGCTCTTCGTTTTGAGTCCATCTCTTGCTTCTTCTTCAGACGTTCTTGACGTGCTCTATGTATATTGTCATAGTCTTTTCTTTTTTGTGGATTGGTTAATATTTCATAGGCTTGGGTTAAGTCATGAAACAGGGCAGCTAAAAGATGATTATGTTTCTTGAGGATGCATAATTTATCAAGTGTGTTTAGCCTTACCAGCATCTGGACTTGGGTTCTTGTCTGGATGTACTTTTAAAGCCTTCTTTCTGTAAGCCCGTTCAATATCCTTGGTCGTAGCAGTTATTTCAATCTCAAGCAATCCATAATAATCAATGTCTTTGTTCTCCATTTTTAAATTAAAAAAGAATGAAAAAAAACAAAGGGAACTCATCGAGTGACCTCGTTGATTTTGATGGTCACACTTCGGTCTTTGAATAAACTAGAGGTATATTTCATTTCTTTTGGCTCATGGAAGCCTTAAAGAAATGTCTGACAATAACAACAACCCAGATAATTATTATTCCTCGTAAAAAGACTCGAGGATTTCACTAATCAGATATACTGAGCAGAAAAAAAAGTTCAACAAACTTGGGAGAAAAGAGGACAATTTATATCCCTAATTGTGTTTCTCACTTTTACATGTGTGCACAGAGTATACTTTATAATGTTACTTGCTACAAATTTTCGCTTCTAGAAAGGAGACATAGTTCACTGTGCATATACAAAAAAAGCACTTTGAATATTAACATATATGACGCGCGAAAAAGTCAAGTTAAAAAGTGAATGTTTTATGGATATACAGCGTAAGAAAGCAGAAGCTTCAAAGAGAGAGAAATTGTGTCAAAGAGATCAAGGAGCTGGTGTTATACTAAGAATTAATGAGAGAAACAAAGTGGGTAGATTAAAGCATTGCCTTTGAAAGATGACTAATATCAGAAGCTCTTCTTTGTTAGCAAGATTTGAATAGCCGCATATTGAAAGTAAAAGTAATGTCTGCTTATGTTACGTCGTAATATAGTCTTGAAAAGATTATTGAGAAGCAATCTCTAAACATGAGACTATAGAGACTAGCAATAAAGCTTCTTCATATGTACAATATTGGTTTTAATAACCAATGTTGGAGGATATGAATGATCCTTTATATGCTTCTTGAATCATCCTGTAGCTTTCTGTAAAATACATTCATAAATCCAAGGTGCACTCTCATATAGAGAAGATATGAATAATAAAAAACAGTGTTGTCAGCATAGAGAACCACCACATGCACATTTTTCATAAACTTTTGGCACACCTTCTATTTTGGATTGGTGCCGACATGTATGATACCAGAATATTCTCTTTGTAATTGATGGATTACTAACATCTGTTTCCGCAACATTACTGTTATATTCAGCTCTACGATTTGAAATAAGGTCAATAAGTCGATGACTTGCGAATTAGACTCTTTATTAAGAAGAGCCAAATATTGTTTATGTTTATGTTATTATTGTTGTATCTGCTGCTACTATTGCTGTCAATGTTATTCTTATCATATGCGATAGAAGGTTGTAAAGTAGAAAATATCTATTGTAGGATTATACTCGAGTTTTTATTGTGGATACTGCCTCAAGGATGCTTCTAAAGCGTAGATGGGGCCATGGATACTTTTCAAAGTATCATACTTAGTGCGCCCAAGTTCTTTATTCTTCTGTCTAGATAAAGCATTCATAATAATCACGTCAGTGTCAAGATCACTGTATCCCTGGCCGTCTATCTTACTCACAGGTCTGTGTTTCCATGTGTCTTTTTTGATAGTTGATTCCACGTATGATTCAGAATCACTTCGTGTCATCCAAAGCCTACAAGTCCAGTCTAGTCATTTATACCTTGAAGATAGGCATGCTTCGGTCAATTCAGTGCGTATATTCAAATTTCGGCTGAAAGATGTGTGAGTCTGCTGCATTTCCCAACAACGTCAGCCAGTACAAGCTGAATAATTTTATTAATTGCTCATCTCCCACACAGGCTTGTATTTGGTAATTCCACAAAATATAGAAACAGAGTGCGCCGGCTTGTCTGGAGGGCTCACCAAGGTATCAAATGAGCTTTGGAATGATTTCAGAGATCCTAATGATGCTTGTGCGGTTTCATTGTCTAGATTGATTCAACATTGATCGAGCATATCAAGGCTGTAAATGACAGAGATTGTGACTAAAGATGTCGTTTCTACTGTTAATTTCGGTTGATATGGGGTGTAAAAGTTTCCAGCTATCGCTGTAAGCGTAACAATACTTCTGCAAGCGGTAAAAGAAAGCCTTCTGTATGAATTTTCTTGGATTCATCTTATTAAAATTCTTTAGTTAAAACTCTCTTATCATTTTGATGCTCTGTTTCAACGTGCCTCTCAAGATCTTTAATTTGAATGGAATGAAAATTGTAAGAAGAGCAAATGCTAGGCATTTCAATGTCTGGATGGTTTTCTTTTTTCATTCATGTCTCAGTGTTTCATGCATAGGGGGACATTGGAAAGCTGTAGTTGGTGCACACATGATGCTTCTGTAATCTCTGTATAGTGAAATCAGCTTCGGAACATAGGAAGCAGTTGTTAAAAAGTGCCATTAGTCGTCACGCTATGGACATGAAGTAGCTATAACATAAAGAGGCCAACGCTACGTGTACCAGAAAACGCACCAGAAAATAGACTAATACTACAGACGCTACCTGTGATGTCACTCAGTAAAACTTTTCAATGTGAAGCATCACGATAAACGTGCTATATTTGATATAGAATACGAATTTATAAAGTTTTCATCTTGGTTTGTTTCTTTTTCAAAAGATAAAAATAACGTATTCCATTGTTCTGGAAAACGCGCGTCTAGGTTATTGTTGATCGATATGTGATATGATTGGCTGATCACTGTGACAGTGCAAATAAAAATTTTTTTTCCTGTTTATAAAATGACAGTTCCAACAACAATTTTTTCTTTTTTCCTTACAAATAATAAAATAAGGTTAGTATTTATAAACTAAAGAGAGTTGTTGTTGCAGAGGATGTTCAGTCAAACAAACTAGAGTTTCTGAATATTGATGTAAACTTTTTTACTGATGCTATTCAAACATCTCTCTATATTTTTTTTATATACATAAGCAGTAAATGCTCATCATTACCAATAGATTTATCTGCTTTGTATATCTGATCTTTTTTTTTTTTTCAAATGTGTGGCTTATTATGAATTGTATGTATTATAAAATAAGGTATAAAAAAGAGAGCAATGATATGATGATTCAACTTTAAAGTTGGAATTACCGCCTGAATTCCTAATGAAGACAACAAATGGCTGTTTCTGATACACTTATTGCTCTTTTTTTCTTAAAAAGATCTTTATAAACCTTAAACTAACTCATTATTACTAGTGGTAAATATCTTTTTATTTTTAATTATCCATGTTATGATGAACTCTAGATGACGAGTCTGACGAGTCATTCATTGTTGAAAAAAACTCTTAATTCCATTCATGCTTTTCTGATACATGGCTTAAATTATCTAAAGTTAATCACATTATATTAACATACACTATAGATTCTTCATTGGCAAATGTTATATTAAGTATATATCATAGAGGTAAATATCCATTCCATAAAAAATGATAAATTTGATGAATATCAAAACAAAATAGACAAGCATATGTCTGATCTTGTTGAAGAAACGTTTTTGTCTGAAAAACATCATTTTTTATGAACCGTATATCAATTCTTATTTACACTCTTTGATAGGGTTCTTTTTTTTGTAATCATAAGCCACACTTCACTTTTGGCTTTCTTATAAAAGGTACATGTAATATTTTATTCTGTTCTTTAAATGATGATAACAAATTTTCACGACGGTCTTCATAAAAACCTTGCTGAAAACGAGTCCTACTCACACCATCTGACAAAAAGAAAGAATAATTCAAATAGTAAATAGTATCTCTAACATTTCTAATTTATTTTAGGTAATGTATATTTTACAGTTTCCCCAGTCCCCTATTTTCATAAAATAAAAACAAAATTCGTTTCATCTTAGTCATTATAATAATTCGTGTATAATTTTACAGTAAAGCATACATTCTACTTTTTTCTATCGCATTTGAAAAGAATAAGAGTGCTAACAGTATTCATAAACAAGGCTAATACTATGGGTGCTTCCTCTATGCACTACCTGTGACATCAATTTACAACTTCATAATGCCAAAGTCGCTATCTAACCTAGGTCTGTTCAGTGGAATATCTTTTGATGTAAAATATACATTCATCATAATTACATGTAATTGATCTTGGTTCTTTGTTGATCAATCTGACAACATAAAGTTAGAATAAAAAATAAAAAAACTCCCTCATGTCTTCTTCCTGAAAAGAAACAAACCAATATGGCGACTTTATAAAAGTCATGCCTAGTTTGGCGCTGCAGATCGAAAAGTTTCGTTGTGAGACACTATAGGTAATGGGTAGAAGTAGCGCCCGTAGTATTAGTCTTCTGTTGAAGAGAAGCCAAGCTTAAAAGGAGTTAAAAGTGAAGTCAAAAAAGGTATTTTACAGCAGTGCATGTTAAAAATGTGGACCAAACACTTCCAAACATCATCATGAGTCAGTTCGAAGCTATTAGTTACCAGTGGGAAGGTCTCAAGCTTAATATCTATGGAGTTAGATACGTGTCAGAGCCTAACATGGTCACGTATAAGAAGGTCACGTTTTCTCTCTGCATCAGCAAAATTGATTTATAGAACTTATCGATACATTAACTATTTAATGAGATTTAATGTATATTAATAATATAAGCATGCCACATCAAATCGTATTTTTATTGCCCTTGAAAAAATAAAGACTTTTTATTGCAATAAAAAAAAGGGTAGAAAGGGTTTATATTACAGTGTTAATATGTGAGTGAGTTTGTGTATGTGCGTGGAATAAAAATTATACAATGCAAAAATATATAATCTATGAGTAAGTATCAACCAATGTATCTCTCAATTCATTGACAATAGCAGTAGGCTGAGCATCCTGCAACTTGAAGATACTTTCCATCACACTTAATTCGGTGGAAGTGGTATCCATGCCAGCAAAGGCACACCAATCATTCACAACACATCCTGCTCCAATCACATCAGAACCACGGTTGACAGTACCTGCGACCAATGGAATTTGCAAGAGAGCTGATAATTCATCTTGATCTTGAATAGATGTACGAGGATGAACGATACCTCCTTGATTACTAATAGCACAGTAAGATCCAACCAAGACATTGTCTGCTACAGTTTGACGGAAAACTTCGACTTGGAGTGTGTCAGCAATGATTTCTTCAGTTTCACGATCGATATCAGGGTGAACCAAAGCAACATAGTCATTACAAGCAATCACATTACCCAGAGCTGATAAGCGTTCTTCAACACGCTGAACAGCAATGTTATCAGGAAGGGAGTTACGCAAGTGTTGAAGTTCTTGATCGGTAGTTGTGCTAGGAACAAGCAAACCCTTCTTGTTACCAGCAGTCAAGCGACCAACAATACGTGTACCAGCAATAGTTGTATGAACAACAGGAATCACATCGCCTAATTCTCCTTCAAAGACACTATACACCCTTATCAATATTTTTCCTCTTCCTGTTTTCTTTTCGTTTACCTGTAAAAATTTTCAGAACCACCAAGGGCAACTAAACAGTAACTGTTGGTTAAACGAGAAAATACACCAATCTCATTGCTGTTTTCAAATTGAGCACGAACAGCCATTATGATTGATTAAGAAAAGAGATTAAAATTTTTTTCTTCTGTCAAGGGAAAAGAAAAAAAATTGCTTTTATACCAGCCGAATTCTTACTGAAGGCGCAGTCGTCTTACCAATAAAAACCGGCATCCGTGACTACTTTATACATTGCTACACAACCTCTTAGTTTAACCTCCGATTCGTCTCGTTCATTCAAGTCTGAATCTAAAGGTATTTTATGATGGCACTTTTCTTTCCTGTGGAGGTGTTGCACTTTTTTGAAAGCAACATTGGACCACAAGTAGCAAGCACGGCCACCACTGATACATCCACCATCAACAAATAATACCAGCATTCCTCATGATTGCGGAATAAGGATATTCAGCAAATCAATTCACTGCTGAGAGAATCTCGTCTGCTTGCACCAACCATCTTCTCTGGTACAATTGAAAGCTTAGATAGTAGATACAGCCGTTCGGTGGGCTAGATTCATTTTTTGAGATACAGTTTGTCAACGACAGTTGTAGGCTGCTATCTCGATAAAAGAATTCAGCAAAAGATCATGTGTATATCCAGAATAGCCAATATTGCCTGTCAAAGAGAAATCAGAAAGAACGATGTCGAAAAGCTGAGGTCAATAATCTAGGAACGGAGTTCCTGGTTGAAAGAACTTGTCAGCGTAAGCCAGCTTCAGTCATGGATTTTTAGCATAAACCAACATTTTCTACTGCACATCCCAGATCTGATCTTGTACTTGGGGTCGATGCCTTCCTATGCTGCGTTCTCCATTGAGAAAACAATACAAGAATACAAGTCAAGGATGAACTCAAGAAAGGATCCTACTCCCAACAGCAACAATGTCTTGCTTGAGCTTGCTTCGCTGCATTGGATAGAACTTATGGCTGCGGCGGAAAGTAAAGAGAAGGTTGAGATCTTGCTGGATGACAGCGAAGAGATCGAATATGAGGTCTGAGGATTCATTAGTCGCGTAGAGTTGAGAAACAGCGCCGATGTCTTGGGCTTTGGTTGCTCCCCTTTTTTGAAGAAGTACTTGAGAATCAAAGCCCTGGTGTTCACACTGACCTTGATTCTAAAAATATTGTCGAGCTTGGATGTAGACTGTGGAGCCCAGATCAGACTTTGTTTGGATGTTTGATGAACCACAGAGAAGGTAATAGAGCAAGCTTCTTTGTTAAGCTCTGCCTCAAGGTCAATGCGAATAGACAAAACGGGCCTAGAACCTCAATTAAAGACTTAATACACTTTGGGGAGGTTGTATCATACTTGAGATACACGTTTCCAGATGGAAACTCACGATTACTAACCCTCATCAAAATGTTTGATGTGAAGACAAACAGAGACTGCCTTTGGTCTTACAAGATAAAAGTAATCAATGTTGGTGAAATTGTTTCCCCTTTGGCCGTTCATTTGATTTGCTATTAACAAAACATAACAACAAATGTCCTTCTCAACATCTCCTTTGACTTAATTATTTAATTATGCTTAATGGATATTACCCCTCAAAAAAAAAAAAAAAGATGATGACGATGGTTGCTCATATTTATCTGACTGATTAGTGAATTTAGACAGTAAGCCTACATTTGGCACTACACACAAAAGTGACAATAGTTCAAAAAAGGAAATAACTTCGGACGTATATTTAACCGAATGCCTGCATACCTCATAAGCAAAGTGCTACATTGTATTTCTCAATAATGGCACTTTTGATAGTATATCTACATGTTCGCCGATACACCTTGCAGGAATATCAATGAATGGTAAATAAATCCTCTCTCGATATCAACGTCGTTCTCAATAAAAGTCGCAAATTGACAAAAATAAAGATCGTTAGGAAGTTAACGCTTAACCCTTTTAGGAAACAAGGACAAAAAATGTAAAAAGGAAATAAAATAAAAACTTATAACCATGTGGATATTTAGTATTGGGATGCCAGAGGGTACAGATGAACGCGTTAAAAGTATATTTAAAAGGGACAACAAAGCATAGATATATATTGATGTACACTAAGGATAAGTAATACATAGGATGTGTTTTGGAAATGACATGGGTTTGCTTTCAGGTAGCTAGTCTAGTCTCCCATCATATACAGTAACTTTGTTCTGCTTGTAAATATCGACAGCCATAGGATAAGGCCTAATGAGGCCAAACTGATAGCGCTTTGAAAGTACACGACTTCTATTTTTGTTAACTTGCAACTTCGGTTGAGAGCGACGTTGGTATTTGAGAAAGAGTGCATAAAAAAATTCAGTCACTGCATACCTTTCCCCCTCCCTTTTCCTTTCTTTCTTTTTTGGTCAAAAAGGGAAAACAGATGATGGAGGTAAAGGTATATTATAGATACAGTTGACAGCAGTTATTAAGTCTAGACAAAGGAGATTGAAGCGCGCATTAGAGAAGTTCAGTCAAAGATTGAGCAAAACATACAATTAAAAGAAAAAGCGATTCAATTACGCAAAATACTAAAGGATCGCAATGCTCAACTTCAATGTGATACTCAGATAAGAGAATGCCAGCGCTATATCGACTACTTTACTGAAGAACTACGTCGTTTGAAAGTAAGGGAAAGCCGTGCTTCTGTAAACAGCAATTCCAATTCTGAACCTCCCCCAGATACTCCAATGATACTACCTAATCAACCTTTGGTATCTTCTCCTACCGAACCCCTTGATGAGCCATTAGACGACGACGATAAGAAATACACGAATCTCGGTAACTACAATATATGCAATGGTATACTCTGTTCTTATCACACACGATAGATCTTTTGGAAGCAGACACGCCTATCAACAAAGCCAAGGTATCTTTAAAACTACACGAGCTGGAATACAAAGTAGACGTGGAGAAGAAAGTACAAGAGGGTATACGTAATCTATATCAACTTCTGGAGCAGTCTACATCAGCAGCAGATCGTCGACGAAAGACAGAGTTACATGAAAAGCAGCTCGAATGTCAAGAAAAGATGACCTTGTTGATCAATGCAGTCAAGAAATATAAGGATCTATACTTGGGCGAAGACGAGGAAGGGAAAATACTCGATCAGTTCGAGACACGCAAGTTTGGTCTCTTGCCAGGTGCTCGTAAGCCTGTAACAGGTAAACTTCAGCTAAAGATTCTCGAAGCACACGAGCTTGCACATGCTCCTACTCGATTATTTCGCGATCCACAAACAACCGTCATGGTCAAGATCGATGGCAACATCCAGTTCCGTACAAGGCCCTCCAAGAACGACAAGTGGACAGACTCGTTTGAGATGTATGTCGATAAGGCGACTGAGGTCGAATTGCTCATCTATGACCAATCAGGCGACCGTACGCTGCCCATAGGCTTGCTTTGGCTGAAAATTTCCGATATTTCCGAGAGCTTGCGTAAGAAGAAGCTGGAAACAGAACAGGCTGATCCAAATTGGGTACCAGCCGAAGTTGCACAGCAGCATGGTGATGACAATGCTTCCATGATTCAGCACAAGAATAGCACAAGTAAGGCAAAGAATGCGTCGGATAATAGTATTTCAGCTTGGTTTGATGTTGAACCTATTGGACGTATATTCTTGGAGATCAACTTTGGTAAGAAAAGCATGTCCAGTCATAAAGCGTCTCTAAAAGATATTTTGCTTTGTAGTACGTGAAAATGTCAAACGAAGGCCAATGGATAAACTTGGAAGAGCAGGTGCAGTAAGAGAAAGGAAAGGTGAAGTGCATGAGATGAATGGTCATCAGTTTGTGGCCAGACGCTTTTATCACATCATGAAATGTGCTCTATGTGGAGATTTTATGGCCAAAGTGACGTTCCAATGTGAAGGTATTAAATAGAAAAAAGAACAAGCAAGAAACTCAAACTGCTTATTGTAGACTGTAGTTTGGCATGTCATAGAAAATGTTATACTCAAGTCGTGACTCGGTGCAAATCAAGATTAACATCTAAATCCGTATATGCTTTATCAACATTCAGTTTGAATATATACTAATCCATATCTTATAGGCACACGATGAAGATGAGCTAAAGCATCATATCCCGCATAGATTTGAATCATTAACCATCATCCTCGGCGCCAACTGGTGCTGTCACTGTGGATTTATGCTACCACTTGGATTTAGAGGTGCTCAGAAATGTACAGAATGTGGAGTTGTTTGTCATACAAAATGTGCCCACTTCATACCTGATTTCTGTGGCATGACCATGGAAAAGGCCAATCTGATGATAAGCGAAATGAAAGCAGCCAACAATCGCCGAAGAACATTCCATGAAGGCTCCTTGCAACATGGTTTAGATAATCACCAAAGACCATTGTTCTCTACTCCTTTGTTTAATACCCAACCGTCACAACAACAACAACAACAACATGACAATATTCATTTACAATCTTCACTATCGACATCTGCTGTACATAAACTAAATCCACTTTCATCTCGCCCGTTATCATCAGTTTATGACTCCAACTCATTCCAAGCGATAACTCATCTTTTCAGTAGTCAAGCCTCTCTTGGCGAAAAGACATCTTTGCCCCTGAGAACGCCAGTTCAGGTCAATCGTAAGGTTGGCCTTGACGATTTCAATTTGCTGGCTGTGTTGGGCAAAGGTAACTTTGGAAAGGTTATGCTTGCAGAGGAGAAATATACCAATGAGCTATATGCTATCAAGATTCTCAAGAAAAGATTTGTCCTGGACAATGATGAAGTGGAAAGCACGCGTTCTGAAAAACGCATCTTCTTGACTGCAAACCAGGAGCGACATCCTTTCTTGGTGAATCTGCACTCCACTTTTCAGACAGAGACAAGAATCTACTATGTGATGGAGTATGTTAGTGGAGGTGATCTCATGCTTCACATTCAGCGAGAACAGTTTTCAGAAGCTCGAGCCAAGTTCTATGCTTGTGAGGTCTTATTGGCACTTGAATATTTTCACAAGCACGGAATTATCTATCGTGATCTAAAACTTGATAACATTATGCTATGCTTGGATGGACACATTAAGTTGGCTGATTATGGTCTTTGTAAAGAAAATATGTGGGGTAATAACACTACAAACACGTTTTGTGGAACTCCTGAATTTATGGCGCCTGAAATACTGCTTGAGAATCGTTATGGACGCGCAGTAGATTGGTGGGCATTTGGTGTGCTGTTGTATGAAATGCTGCTGGGACAGGTAAAAACAGAAAGAAAAAAAGGATATAGGAAGTTTCTTAAATGATGTATAGTCACCATTCAAAGGAGAAGACGAAGATGAAATATTTGATGCTGTGCTGGAAGATAACATCCTATATCCAATCAACATGTCCAAGAGTTCGGTTGCTATTTGTGAAGCAGTAAGCTCCTTTTAACTTTCCTTTTTCTTGCTCTTTAATGATCCAAAAAAAAATAGTTGCTCGAGCGTAATCCTCAAAGACGTCTTGGTGGTGGTAAAGGCGATGCACAAGAAGTCAAGAATCATCCTTTCTTTGCTGGCGTCAATTGGGATGATATGTTAGCTAAACGTGTTCCTCCTCCGTTTATACCTACTATTACTGGTAGAGCAGACACTTCCAACTTTGATGAAGAGTTTACCAGAGAAATACCTATTTTGACACCCGTAAACGCAATGTTGACATCAGAAGAGCAACAACAGTTTGCCAACTTTTCTTATGTGGCCAATTGGGCAGTAGGGAAATAAGTGGAATTCTTAAATAAAGACATCCTTATACAGATACAAGCAATGATTGAATGGCTGCATGTTTGTTTTAGAAAAACATGAGAGACTTTCACTTGCTTCCTTTTTGATGACATGTTGGAAAGGAGTCGCTCCTTTGTATCACCGACTTTAAGTCATTAGTGACTTCTTTTCGTTTGAGAGTATCCAAAGACATTCTGTGTCATTTTTCGTGTTTTTCCTCTAATAGTAATTTGACATGAACAAGAGTAAAGGAGAAAATGTATATCAACCTCTATCAGGCGCAACAACAGCAAGTGGAAAGACTGCATTGGTACACACATACATATGTGCACATAAATATATATACACCTGTCCTAACACCGTTGTATATAGACCGCAGTCAAGGGACTTATGGAAGAGTTTATTTCACCACAGACCAATGTTGACAAACTTGTTGATGAGCTTCGACCAGTTTACATTGATAGATCTCATACATTTGTGAAGGAAGAAGAAAAAAAGGAAGAGAAAAAGAAGCTCAAGAGGAAAAAGGATCGTAAACTGACGGCCAAGGAAAAACGAGTACTGAAAGTATACGAGATTCCAAAAGAAGCACATCAATATAAACTATTTGAACCACTCTCTGAGCTATGGCAGGGGTATATGGATACCCTATTGGATAAAGGCGAAGCCAATTTTGAACAGAAACTGATCAAGGCCGATTTTCATGGAGCACCGTTTACAGTCATTCAGAGTACAAATCCATCTTATGTGGGTGTATCAGGCATTGTCGTTCAAGAGACACTCTCAACATTCAAAATCATTACGAGACAAAATAGATTAAAGCGTAAGTGAAAGAGATCATTTGTACTACAAGAGATATTTACAACAAAATGCGTGTAGAGATACCCAAGAATACGAGCATATTCAATATATACATCAAAAAGCTGGACAAGTCATTTACTATTTATGGACAACAATTTGTGGCAAGACCCTCAGATAGAGCCGCAAAGAAATTCAAACCAAAACCATCCATTGATCTCTAAACTATTAGACTTTACTCGCAAACACATAAAAAAAAGGAAGGGGATACACAAATTTACTATACACAACGTTCGACAAAGGACTGGATCATTCCGATAGGTGAAGCTTCGTATTCCTTGAGAACAACATTACCATCTTGAATAAATGTGTTTGCTTGAATAAACGATTTTCGAGGCTGCTTGAAAGCAATCACTATATCTCGAATCTTATGCCAATCTTCGGGAACATGAGTGGCTTCCAAGTAGAGCTTTGTGCCATTGTCTACGTCAGCTGTAGCCTTATAGATCTGAAGCTTTGTCAAGAACTCAGAGACAGCAGATCTTCCGACAGATTTGATCTTGGTTCTGTCCATATGTATTTCAAAACTATCTTTACCGTCAACAAAACAAGGCTTCAATTTAAGGAAATCTTGGCCAGCCTTCAACATGACGTTCATGATGGCATAACGAGCCTGCATATGAGCTTGATTCCACTACATTTTTTTTAAAAAATAAAAAAAAAGAAAGTAATGAGTGATGTGATCTAATGAGTTTTGTCCCTTATATACCTTTTTAGCATCTGGGTTGTAGAACTCGAGTGCAACAAGACCAGCTCTGGCCATATTCAAATACATGGTGTAGAGCACATCATCAGCCTCTTGGCCTTCATAGTTGAAAAACTTTAGTATATCAGGATTAGGTGAGACTGAGAGAGCGATACTTTCAGCACGACATTCTTCGTAGCTTGCGGCAATACTCTTGAATAGAGAGTTAAAGTCTTGACCAGGTTTGTACCATGTTTCAATAGGTCCCTTTGTGAACGGATGAATCACGCTCTGACGATCAAAATTAAACTTTCCCTCTTCGTTTTCAGAAAAGAGCTTGCCCGTACCATGACCGAGTTCATGTGTGACGACCTGGACCTGGAAAGAGCGAGTGAGGTACTTTCGGTAGGTTTCGATGTCCTCTTGTCGAACAAATGGGTATTGCTCATTGGGTGCTTGAGCAGATATGACATTGCCCAGAGACACGTTCTTTGAGCCGTAAACTTGGGTGATGTTTGAATAATTAGGAATATTTATGCCTGCAGGGATGCCTGCAGTAGCGAATGAGAGCACTTCTAGAGAAGTGAAATCGGGCTTGTTTAGTGTGTCGCGCTCAAATTCGGTAGGCCAAGGAAGGGAGGAAATAAAGAGCGAACGGTTTGCGATGAGATTATCAAATTGCTTGGTTTGCTCTTTATTGACCATCGCAACGAATCCTTCCCACTCGGCACGGGCACCATGCGGGTCCCGGTAGGTTTCGATAAATCCAATGTTGCTCTCGACCACAGGACCAACGTCATTTAGCCACTCGCGTTGAGAATCCATGTGTGCCTCGATAGAACCAGTACGGAATGAATCATGGTAATGCTTGAGCATCTTGGTTTGAGTGTTGTTAGCAGCATAAGGAATTGCATCTTGAATGGCCTTGGCAATCTTGCTCATTTGCTCTTTAAAGTCGCCATAGCGAACATGAAGCTTTTGACCGTTATCTAAAGTATACGTCTTGTTTTGTGCATCTTCTGCAGCAGCTACTCTTAATTCATAACCGTCATCAGTCTTGAACAAGCGAGTATTGTAAGAGTAAATCTTGTTCTTTTCGCAAAAATGCTGGACAAGCTTGATGTCCTCCTTGGTGATGTTGTCAGAGTAATAACCAGAGATATGTCCATCATCAGGGTATCCTAGTAAATTGCGGGATATGGGTTCAACATCATATATTTCACCACGGGATCGCTCAAATAAGGCAATGGCCAGTTTGTTGTTTGTTGCCTTGATAATTTTCTCAAAATCTGCACAGTCAAGTCTTGGAATAAACTTTTCATCACCAAAGGATTTATAGTTACTAAGGTTACCAAGAAATTGAGCAGAGTATTGCAAGAACTCGTCAAAGGTCTCATCATTTACGCCACTATTTAATAATTATAAATATGTGTGACCAAATCAAATTATAAAACACTATATATACCTGGCTGCACGTAATTCCTGAGGGTTAATCATGTCACCTTGGTCATTGGTGAATGCCTTGATGATCATGTCATATATAGACAAGGCTTTTGGATTGGTCTGAGTGATAACAACACGAGTTCCTTCAAAGGAGGCTCGAGAAATAAAGTGTGCATAATGCTTTTCTTTAGAAGTAAGAGTGTCAAAGAAAGGTTTAGCCTCCAAGCGACAATAAGGAGGAGAAGCATATGCATAATACTTTTCTTTTAAGGAAGCAGTAGACATCCTTCGATGCAAGACTGAATTAAATAATCTTGTATTAGAAAAAGAAAGAAATTTAAATGAACGATACATGTTCATGGGAAAAGTGAACGCCAAGTAAGCTCGGCTTATCTGAAGGTCCCCTTGGCGAGATTATCGCTTTTTTTTTACAACTCAGTCTGTCGCCCTTTCTTTTTTAGGCTTGTAAGAAACACTCTATAAAGAGAACAAGCAAGAATCAAGTAACTCCTTAAAATTTACCATGGCGTGGTCAGTGCAACTTTAAAGTGATCATCAAGCAAATCTTTATTTCACAAAAAGGTAGCAGCCGCCTTTCAATTTCATTGGCCAATAATGAGCCGAGAGTACTTTTACTTTTATCTGAATGAACGCTCAGAGTCAATGAAAGTATCACACTTTATTCTCAGCTGCTTTTGAACGATAGTAGCATTGAAAGGTTTTGTCGATTTACTTTTGATTCATTGAGTGATATATACTTTGCTACTCTCTATCGCTTTGTGTGTAATAATGAATAAAACTGTTCATGTTACGAGTGAGTATAAAGAGGAAATGGAGTAACCTTGTAGAGAGATCTTATTGTTGATCAACTACGAAGATGTAACGAAAAGGAGGCTGCACCCTTTCAGTATTTACTGACTTGGCTATCCTTTTGTCAATTACCATTACTCATCTTTAACTCTGGGTCATCATTAACATAATATTTCTAGACAAAAGAGAAAAAAAGAATTCCATCTTGTCTCTCTTTGTTACAACTGATTTCGTACTACAAAGAGACATAATGCGCGCGGTTGACATTGTTCAGAAACAGCTTTTGTTTATTTCCCGATTCTATAAAGGCAAACAAAGAATTGTGGCATGAATTATTTTTAGAGTATTTAGGGCAATTTCCTTTTTTTCTTTTTCTCTCAACTTGGAGTTCATGCAACTAGCTTCTCAATGTCTGCTTCATATAATGTAGAATACAATAACCAAATGCCAAGCTTACCACAGTTTGCATCTTCTGTTGCTGAGCTACAACGGCGTGCCTTTGTTGATAGATCCAAGATTGAGACGTACAGCATCAAAAGCTGGATTAGTTCCGCTGAGAAACTTTACCAACAGGTATATCAGTGTGATGCGATCTTTTTATTGACTAACCTCTATTTTAAACTTGTAGGGTGATGTAGCATTACTTGTAAATAATTTAGAAGATGCATACGTTGCTTATATGAAAGGATCAACCATCATGATTGAGATTGTACGATTGCATTCAGGCTACTTGAAGATTAAAACAGATCCTTTGTATGCTCAACTAAGAAAAGTAAGTGCATATACAACAGATGACCATGATAATAAACATGTTTTAGAGAACGGATAATGAAATAGTAATGATCCTAAGGGACCTTGCGACAAAGATCGATTTCTGGTACAGCTATCAGCAGCAGTTGGGACAGATGTCATCCTTTTATTACCACAATCATGCACCACTTCAACTACCGTCCTACGCCTACAACAATGAACTGTATAATTATTCGATGAATGATCTATCATCGGCTGTTGCTAGACAAAACATCATGGCACATGCCAATATAACATCACCCAACGTATCACAACGATCGTCTCCGTTACGTCAGGCACCGATCACAGTATCATCGTCCAATTCTACACCGATAAAAAGCGGAAATAGCATGACAGCATTGACGCACGACATATCCAAGCTGACACTATCAAATAACGTAAGCGTTATTCCCTCGTGGACCAATCACACGTTTCCTGAGAGCACAACGATTGAGCCCCTTGATCTTTCGTCCAGAATCCAGGTACGACAACATACCCCTACTATCTTACTCATCGATGTACGAAGTCGAGACACATTTACAAGTGGATGTATACAACACAAGTGGATAGTTCAGATTGAGCCCAGTGTGCTCGGTAAAGAGTATGTACTTTATATATATACATATATGCTATGAAAAGCTATTAACCCATCACAACCTCCTTTCTTAGCACCACAGCTCGTCAAATCGAAGAAAGTTTAGTCGTCAATCCGAGTATAGAACGGTCACTTTTTATAAAGCGAGATAGATTTGACCTGATAGTGTATTATGACCAACATTCCAAAACTATTGAAACAGCTGATGCGCCATTAAGGCATCTCAGAAGAGTCCTAGAGTCACATCAACTGAAGCACCCACCGATGATGCTGGCTGGTGGATTTGATGCGTGGCAATTCGTCATTGGGGAAAGGGGTGTATATAAATTCCCAGTCATTAAGGAGAAGAAAAGTTGGTTTAAAAGCACCACAAGCATATCCAGCGTAAGCACAACTGGGAGCAGTAGCAACAGCGTATACGACTATGTAGGATCATGTATTTATTTTTTACACAACTTGTCTAACTCCAGTATTATTATATATAGTTCACAGGCAAAAAAGAACAACAACACAAAGTAAACCCACCCATATCCAAGCCGCAACCACTACCAACTGCTCCAAGAAAAGAATCGATTACAACAAGATACCCAGAGATGATGACCATGGCAAATGAATCACCCAATGCTATGTTATCAAGTTCAACAGATTCGATACAGATGCAACCTACAGTTGATTTACGACCTGCTCCTCCGGTCTACGCTAAACTTCATAGACGACGAACGTTTATTGATAATCCTTTTAACGGATTTACTGCTACCAGCAGCAAACTGTACGACGTGCCTCCTATGCAAATACATAATGACAATAATAACTTGGCACACAAGGCCATCACCTCTTCTGCCGAACCATCGATTACGGTGAGTAGACCATCGACTCTTGGCGAATTCCATCATACGTCCACCAGCAATCTTCATAGCACTCCCTCTAATGTGATCTCTCAACAAGGAGGGCTTATCGCTATAGGCACAACTGGCCTAAAAAACCTTGGCAATACATGCTATATGAACTCAATCATTCAATGCTTAAGCGGAACTCTGCCATTTGCAAGATACTTTATATGTAAGTTGTTTATAAAATGAAAATCCCTCCCTCTAATCATCTTTTCTCTTTTTAGCTGGTGTCTTTAGACAACACATCAATCGTCATAATACGATGGGAACGGGAGGCCTACTATCAGAAAGATTTGCAGATCTACTAAGGGCTATGTGGAGTGAAAATTACAACTTTGTATCTCCCATGACGTTTAGGGTAAGGCACTATATACACAGAAAACCTGTTTGATAGTTAATATATCTTATTACAGGAAGCCGTCATTAAGTTTGCTCCGCGATTTGGTGGTAATGATCAGCACGACTCTCAAGAGTTTCTGACCGTCTTATTAGACGGATTGCATGAGGATGTGAACTTGGCAGCCGTGCCGAGTAACATGAGCAGAATAACCGAGATGACAAGGGAAGAGGAAGCAGAGTTTGAAAAGTTACCGGATTGGCAAGCAAGCGCGTTGGCCTGGGAAAAGTACACAAGCAGGCATACGAGCATTGTAGTCAGTCTGTTTCAAGGGCAATATCGTAGTCGATTGACTTGCCTCGCCTGCAAACATACCTCGAGCACCTATTCTCCCTTCATGTCGTTATCTCTCCCAATACCAGCCAAGAAACTGAAACTGTCGAATGTGACATTATACCAATGCTTGGATTACTTTGTGAAAGAGGAAGTGTTGGAAAAGGAGGATGCATGGAATTGTCCTAGATGCTGTAAAAAGCGTAAAGCCACAAAGCAGCTCATGATATCTAAATTACCCGATGTGCTCTTGATTCACCTAAAGAGGTTTTCTGCAGATGGTCTGTTCAAGAACAAGCTTGACTGTATAGTCAAATACCCTACAAAGTAAGTATAATTTGATGGCTTTTTATTTGTACTAAAAATAAATTTAAAAATAGAGGATTAGATTTACATAATTATATTACGAGATCTACACAACCAGATCAGACTTGTTACGATCGATCACTCTCTGTTTATGACTTGTATGCTGTATCGGTAGGTTAATGATTATTAATTCAAATGAAGGAGGCTGATACACAGTTGTCTATCTAGAATCACTATGGTTCTCTATCGGGCGGTCATTGTAGGTTTTATATGATTTTAGTATTATCTAAATAACACTTTATGATAGATACTGCCTTTGTCAAAGATGGACATCGGAACCAATGGCATTTCTTTGATGACAGCAAGTTCTCTACGATCGATGAGAGCAAGATAGTTGTAAGATGAAACAAAAATACAAGTTAGCCTGTGTTCCTAATCGTTTCGTTTAGACTAAAGCAGCATATAATTTATTCTACGTTAGATCAAAAGTAAAGTAATTTATGTATATAAGGCGCGCACACATTTGTATATAAAACAAATAAAGATCCTTTCTATGAGTTTTTATTATTATTATTATTTGCTTTTCGACAACAAACCGGCACAAAAACAAAAAAAAAAAGGTTTACATGTAAAATGTATATTATGTATATTAAAAAAAAGAAAACGAATGGGAATATAATAAGAAGCATATACACACAAAAAGGGTTAAAGCATATTAAAACTCGTAATTCTTCCCAATAAAAAAAAGGTCTACGAAGAAATATACAAAAAGTTGCAATGATATATATATAAAAAAAAAAGATGTTAAAATGCAATAAAAGGCATAATTGAATATAGAAATGATTGAGCTCTTCTTTTTTCTGCAAAAGAAGGGGGTGAATTATGGGGGGCTTGTAAATTAAAATAAATTAAATTAAAAATGCAAGGAGGAAACAAAATGAAAGTATAGAAAAAAAAAATTATGAAAAGGGGGGCTTAATGACAGTGCCCTTTTTCTATATCAAAGGGGGTGTGGCCTATAGCATAGGAGCTGGTGAGGGTGAGGACGATAATATTAAATCAAGACAGGAGTCATAGTAGCCGCCTTCAACCGAAATAGGGGAGCCAGTGGAGAGTTTAGGTGTCATTTGCTGAGAGATGGGTGAGTGATTGAATGCGTGGAAAAAGTCTGTGGATGGTGAAGTATTATTGTATTCATTATAACCATGCATAGGACTTCTTGAGAGCGCAAAGGATGGGATGTATCTGTTCTGGTAGATATCCTCTGCTGTCATGCGTCTTGTGTTCATTTGTTGGTAATCGGTGTACTCGGGAGACCACATTGCTTGTTCATAGTCTTGTTTGTATGAACACTGAGAACCAAGGGAAGGACATGACTTTCGCCGCCATTCATCATTCATAACAGGATACTCAAGCTCTCTTGAGCCTTCAGAACCAAGAGGATGCAAAGGCAATTTGGCCAATTTGTCTGTATGTTGGCATTGAGAAAGGTATCCAGTACTATCTTCCTTCTTGCAGTTACTAGAAGAAGCGCACTTGGAAGCATCAAAGATACAAGAGGCAGCAGCAGCAGTGGCAACAGATCTTGCATTCACGTTGTTCAACACCTGAGGATAACTCGTAGGAGATCGTGACTTTTCTTGAGGAGGAGTGGGAAGAGACGAAGGCGTGGCAGAAGAAGCATCAGAGGATTCGGTCCGAGCAGACTTGCGTCTCAACAACTTGGCCTTGGCTCGACGGTTCTGGAACCAGATCTGTACACCTCGAGGCGTCATGTCTAACTGTTGAGCAAGAATTCGACGTACGGTCGCATTGGGCTTGGGGTTCTCTGAAAAGGATTTTTCAAGAATCTTGAGTTGAGCACGGGAAGTACGACGCCTGTGCTTAATTTCAAATGGATTGTAAAATGTTGGACGGAAGTCAAGATTTTCAACAGGCACGCTGTATCCCAAAATATAGCTCTCTTGATTCATCATCATGATGTTGTCATTGTTAAAGTATTCATGGTTTACTGGTACAACTGTAAATGATTGCTCAAACGGTTGCATTAACATATCAGGAGTCATTGTTGCTTTCTTGTTGTTGTTGTTTGAATAAAAAGAAGAGTAAGAATGAAAGATGTATTTAAAAAAAAGAAAACTAACTTTTCCGTCTTTATATACAATTGAATGTATCACCGATCCGAACAATGAAAGGGCTAGGAGAAAGGGAGAAGATAAAAGTTTGATGATAGGAAGGGGAAAAAATAGGATGCTTGTCAGAAATGTAACAAAGGCTAGATAGTCTGGAGAAAGTAGTGCTATGAAAAAAAGGATTTTGGAACAAGGTAATAAAATAAAGGTAACCACATGAAAGGGGAGACAGAGCACAGAGCGCAGAAAGAGAGATACATGATAGGAAGGGGAAGGGGAGAAAGCTTTAAATTCCAAAGAAAGGAGGAAAAAAGAGAGACAAGTGTATGTCAAAATGCTGGGTTGTGTATTTTCATTTTAGCTTCTAGTCCTTCTAAAGAGGCCCTTCTGTTTCAGGCCATTAAAATAAGGGCAAGTACGGTGATCGAACAATAATTCTTTACCCCATAATGCATCATATTAATAGATATAGGAGCTTTTATCTATCATTCTATATACTTGTATATGTAAGCATAGTAAGATATGCTCTGCATGATATAACATAGTTGAAAAAAGTCTTAAAAAGAAAGAATATATATAGACCGTGGAGCGAGAACGATTTTTTTGTTACTTTTATACCAGTGCTCGCTTATCATAAGGATTATTACAACGACAGTTAAAAGTAGAAATGACAACGGAAGGGAGCTTAGCAGATGACGAGAAAAGAAAGTATAGTTAAGGAGGCACGCATTGGCATGCTTTGTTATACCAGGAATTTAAAAAAGAAAGGAGCTTCTTTTTTTTTTCTCTCTCTCTGAAGACTATACAAGTATATTTAAAAGAAGTATAATCAGTTCATTTGCATATGATTAGATATACAATTGATTCGAACCATGCTGTAGTATCTCTGCCTTGTCTTTATTTCCTTTAAAAGAATCGACATCACGGCCACATGTACTATATGCGGATATGATAGTATTGACGAAAGCCCGCTCAAAATAATATAATACAAGCACGATAGACATATTTTATTCCTGGGTAACAAAAGAAGAAGGAGACACAAAATAAAATGAGGGGAAGGTAAAATTACTTAGGGAGCATAAGAATGGAGGGAGAGGGGGAAAAAAGAGGCCGGAATTGACTAATAAGCTCAGGTCTGATTAGATAATAGTAAAATACGGCTTCCGTCTTGTAAATAGTGATCTACTTTTGGTGGGTGTAGTTGTCTCCTTTTGGTAAACGCTTCTGTTACCTGATTTGCATTTATTTATCCCTCGACATATCTTGATAAATTAAATTTAAAAAATATGAAAGCACAAGCACTGCAGTTACCGATGTGCTATGTAAGCAAATGGATGCATGCTGATACACTGTCACTGTCGGAAAGAACTGAAATAAAGTTGCATTCAGATGATATTCCGTCTAGTTCATCACTTTATGAGCACAAGATGGCCACAGTGGGTCGGTTAAGCCGCTATGGTTCGTGCGACAGAAAGCCTATTCAGCACGATTTTAAAAACGTTCGCTCTGATAGTTTTGTTTATAAGGAAGGGGGGCTTAGGTTTATGAATTAATAAAAGTGCGCATCGTAACGATTCTTTGCCTACAACAAGTAGGTGTAATGCACTTTAAAGCAAATAATTAATGAAGAAAAAGGCGTTTGCTGTCAAACTCTAATTGAATTCATAAAGGGAACTTTCATCAGTATTAAGCAAACACTTCAACTACAGCATATTAATAAACCTACTTCTTCTTTAACGTCTTCTGCTTATGACGTACATGTTCCTTTCTTCTGAAATGTTCTATTGATTTGTTCTCTCCTATAAATTCATTCTTTTCATACACTACAATATATATATATATATATATATATATCTGTTGATATAAATGGGACAACAGCAGTAGGCCCAAAGTTAACTAAACTTATGTTCGATATTTTATATTTTCCTAGTAAAGTATATCTTGCCACCAAAAGATATAAAAGTAAGGGGAGGGGATTTCCATTTTTATAACAAAGATCTAAAGTTTATAAAAAAGGAACACTGTACAAGAGGGGAAAGTGAACAAAAAGACAGATGTTTATCTTTTTGTAAAGTTCAAATATAGCAAAGTAAAAAGATATAAGCATTGTAAACTTGAGCAAAAGAAAAAAAAAATAGGCTTTATTGAACAATCCTAAAAGATGTGTGTGATTCTTATTATTTTTACACTTTATTAATTAAAAACCTCCAAAGTTTAATAAATCTATAAACGTAAACAGAACTGCTGATATCAAGAGTCATTCTATAATAGAAAAATATTGATCAAGGAGCTGTGTATTCGCGTGTGGTAACCATGCGAACAGAATATCTCTTCCATCTGGTCAGATACCGTTTGACTATTTACTTTATAGATCATGTATATCTACAAAGGTAAAATATTTTACCACCGCTCTCCTAAAAATAACCCAGTCTGTGCACTGTCGCATAATATCGGAGTGTTTTGTAGAAATTATGAGAGAGCTTTTTCCTCAATTATGAATTTGCCCAAAACAAAAGCAGCTACAGAATTAAAGGCCTTGCTTCAAAATAAGCATAACAAGGTAAGCTTCATTTAGCAACATTTATTGTTTCCTAAATTATTTCCAGAGTTGCTTTGATTGCTACTCTAAAGGACCAACATGGGCGTCTGTGACCTTTGGCATCTTTATTTGTCAAGATTGTGCAGCCACTCACCGCAATTTAGGCGTTCATATCAGTTTTGTCAAGTAATTGACCATAAAAGCAAGAAAATATTTGATGGAGGAACTGATTCGACTTATTTTAATAGATCCACATTGTTAGATGCTTGGACACAGCAACAAATAGACATGATGACACTTGGAGGAAACGCTAATGCTCGAGAAGCATTTGGAGAAGCATTATTAAGCTTAAAGGATCTCAAAACCAAGTACACGAGTAAGACAGCCTTATCCTATAGAGACAAACTACAGAAAAAAGTACAAGAAAAGGGGAAAGCACTAGAAGAAGATGATGTGGACCTTATTCACTTAGATCAATTATCACTACAACAAGCTCAGAACGATCCATCTCTGATAGACTTTTCAACCGAGCCAGCCCCTGACGTTGTAAATATCACACCTGACTTTGAGGATCTAGATATTTTCAAACCTGTAAAGGATAACATACCCCCTAAGTCACAAAGTTCAATCTTTGATGAACTCATGGCACCACCTACGCCTACAGCAGATGATATATTTTTCGATAAGTTAGAAAAGAACACGGAGAGCAATAAGAAGCGTACATTCAAACCCAAGGCTCGTGGTCATTCATCAAAGTTGGGTGCACGAAAGGTACAATCGACTGTGTTTCAGCAGCAAGAAGAACTGGCGCGACGTGAAGAGCGGATGAGACAGGAAGGAATAGATGAAGATAGTATAGGCAGAAGTAGTCGGAACCATCTACTGGCAACAAACACAGAACCTATTCCTAAACTACAGCCTCCCACAGCATTATCTGGAAGATTGATGTATCAACCTGCTAATAAAGAAAAAGAAGAAAAAGATCCTGATAGATTAGGCATCATGTCTTTAAAGAGTGCGTCTCAGAATCATAGGGCGATTAAAAAAGAACAAGATGATGACGACGATAATGATACCACATATGCTCGCGAAAAGTTTGGAAATGCGAAATCGATATCTTCAGACCAATACTTTGGCCGAAATGAGTATGATGCGGATCGACAGTCTGCAAACAATAGTCGTCTAGCGCAGTTTCAGAGTTCATCAAGTATATCATCTGATCAGTATTTTGGAAGAAAGTCATCACAACACACAACAACACCATTGTCTAAAAAGATCCTGCATGTTGCTTCAAAAGGAGCATCCAAGATACAGAATATGTTAGCTGAATTAGAGGTAATTGTCATTTTACTCTGCTAAATATGACATATTAATTATGCTTAAATCATCTAGTAAAAGCAAAATAAGTCACCTCTTTCTTTTTCCTTTATGCTTGAGATTTTGGATTGTATTATGAATAAAGGACTAATGATGAGTTGGAAAGGGATGTAAAATAATAAGGGAAGCGCTACATGCATGTGAAAATTCAGGTCTTACTGTTTGCACAGCACATTTGTATAGCAAACAGCATTAGACACACCACATCTACACAGAACTATGTACAACACTGAAGAATATATCGATGAACCTCTATGTGGCCTCTTTATAAAGATCGCAACGAGAGAGAGAGTTTATTATTACAAACAGCATCATTTTATATATGACAAGATTATTGCATGAATTAAATATGAACAATAAGAATAGAGAGTATGACGCGTTATTTAAGTATAACGCATTTTGTGATCAGCCTTTTGGGTTGTTCTTTCTGATAAGATGAAGCATTTATGGCAGATATTCTATATGAAGGATTGTACATAATGCTGCTTGCAAAACCCAACAACTCTATAAGATCGCTACGGAATTTAAATGACGCGTTCAAAGTGTACTAGTGGCAAAGTTCTGGAGGAACTCTAAGCTGTATCAGATGAAAAGATAATACTTCAAGCAACAGTTGACTGATACAGGCTTCAACAATTATGGAATGATGATGAAAATCTAGTACTGTATTCACTTTAAAAGAGGATGTATTTGACCAATTTATCTTCAAACAAGTGACCAAGCTAGTTCGATTTATTTAAACTCCAAGCACTGTATTCTTTTTTTTTTTTCCCTTTTTTCAATAACTTAAATGTTTCGAATTTTAAGGTAAAATCAGCTCAAAAGAATAAACAAAAAGATATTGAAATGTGATAATAACACCAATAGGTCTATAAAGTAAACGTTCCGTCAGTAGTTTCCCAAAAACCTCTGTTCTCAAAACAAGACAGTACAGTGCCCCTGTTCGATATACAAATAAAGCATCCAAGCAGAACGCATTGGCTACTGCAAAACCATGGAGTGAACTATCTACTCCTCAAAAAGGTATTTATGCTTACTTGAGTGAAATATTATTAACCTTTTCATCCTCAGTTGTGGTTGCTTCAAAGACAACGTTTAATGTTGGCATTATTCTGACAGGATTTGCACTGACATCAGCTATTGTATATTATATTGGTTCTGAATTATTTGGATCACAAAGTACAACCAGCATCTTTTCTGATGCTGTCGACCGAGTTAAAGCCAATGAGGAGATCGTTTCAATCTTGGGAGAGCCTATTAAAGCACATGGAGAGCCTAGTAGAAACAGTCGTAGACGTAACAGAAGAATAGCATCACAAGTAGTCGAAGACCAAGAACATAAACCTCACTTGTTTATGCGATTCTATCTTGAGGGCTCGATTACCCAAGGAACAGTCATGCTGGAAATGATTAAGGATGAAAAGGATAAATGGCAGTACAGACAGCTCTACGTGGACGTACCAGGACAAGGATTACCTTCTAGACGAATTTATTTAGAGCGTAAATGAATATAATAAAAAAAGGAGGTAGACAAAAAAGTGTACGTGTACGTGTGTGTGATAGAGCGTGTGCGTATGTGATAAAGATGTGTGTATATTAAAAGATATTAAAAGATGTGAGAGATAGAGAAATGAATTATTTGTTGAAAGAAAATCCCTTCTTTTTAGCTGTCTTCTCTGGAGTCAAGGGTCTGCCTGATTCCAAGCGACGCTTCTTTTCTTCCAAATCAGCACGTTGCTTCTCAAGTGCATCCTTCATCTCCTTATGACGAGCATACAACTACAATAACACAGTTAGCCATTTCACTCCTTGATCATATTTCTCTCATTACCTCTTCTTCTGACTGCTTCAATTTGGCTTCCTTTTCTTGTACCTTAGCCTGGAAGACAGATCTCATTTCTGCTTCCATCTTGGCTAATTTCTGCTCATGAGCAAGTCGTTCTTCTTCCATCTTTTGAACAGGGCTATAGTCATTGTGTGAGATTGCATTCTTTGAGTAGAATATTGTTAACTTACTTGACTTCCTTGAACACAGAAGGATCTTGTTGGATACCCATGGCTGTTAATTTCTCGGTACGGTAATTTTCATAGAGAACATCGTTGGTATACTCCTTGAGCTCTTCCATGTGAGTACTATTAAATGGTTAATTTCGTGTCTTTAATAGGACAAAAGTTACTTACCGAATAAGCATCTGACGAAGCTTAACAAAGTCACAGTGTTCTTCATTATCAACTTCGATAACACCCCAAGGGTATTTACGACCACGTACACGGCGACCACCTTCGATATCGAATTCCTTGTCTGAACCGACGACAGCGAATGGAATTTTGCTCATGATTTCTTTATTTTCAGCAATAGTCTCTTGATCGTCATACTCATAAACAGGGGCTTGATAGATTTGAATATTGTGATAAGCAATATCTGCCAAGATACGTTCCTTGAAGGCAGCAACTTCTTCCTCTGTCAAAGTATCTGCTTTGGCAATAACAGGGATCAAGTTGACACGAGTATGAAGACGGCGCATGAATTCGATATCAAGAGGCTTCAAACTGTATATAATATTAGCATATTTACAATACATATAATATATACTTACGCATGACCTGTAGGTGCAATGAAATAGATACAGGCATGAATACGGTTATCGACCATACGACGACGGTTCACACGATTCTCTTGCTCGAGGTAAGCATCGAAGCGAGCCTCGATATTGTCCAAAATAGGCTTCCAACTATTTAATTTATATGATTTAGCATCATTTAAGGTAACACAACACGTGTGTACAATACCTTTCTTCGTTATTCACAAAATCACCAAAACCAGGTGTATCAACCACAGTCAATCTTAACTTGACACCATTTTCTTCAATGTCTGATGTGATTGACTTGACTTCAACTGTTTGAGTTGTCTCATGAGTTAATTCAACTGTTTCTTTTGGTGGATATAATTGTGTATTGAATAATGTGTTTACAAGAGTTGATTTACCAAGGCCAGATTCACCTATTAAAAGTCAGTACCCTTTTCTTCTTCTTATGCCCCTCTCTCTTTCTCTCTCTTGACCCCCCTTTCTCTTTCTCCTTTTTTTTTGTTGCCTGCTTTTCCTTTTTATCAACCCCCTTTTTGTTTCTTCTCCTTTTTATGTGTATTCTCCAAGTAACTTTACCTACTACCATACAAGTGAATTGAAAGCCTTTCTTTACTGACTTGCGGTGCACTTGATTAGGAAGATTGGCAAAACCAACATAGCCCTGTAACTTTTTACGCAAGACAGTAATCTATATAAAAGTGAATACAGAGTTGACAACATTTTCTATTTCTAGGACTTACACCAGAAGGAGTATTCGTTTGGTCTATAAAAGATAGGTCAACACACGACAATATTTATACAGAATATATAGTTTACCAGACATGATTATAACAACTTTTGTTTAAAAGAAAAAAGAAAGAGAGAAAAGAGAGAAAGCTTATGTTTTATCACAGATAAAGAAGAAAGGGGATAAGGGGGAATCTTTTTTTTCTTGTAAAAAGGGACTCTGCTCTGTTGAAAAGGGAAAGAAGAAAGGGGGAAAAAAAAAAGAATACAAAATAAATGTTCACTTTTTTGCAGGTTCTACAAACAACGAGTTGTGTTCATCAAAGCGTGTATAAATAAGCCAATAATCATTTATCGGAGTGTATAGTGTAAATCTCATAAAAATGAGTTACTTTGTTTATACTTCAAATTCAGACAATGTTAGTTTTTTTTTAGACGAATCAAAATGTAACTTTAGACAACTTGTTTACCTTTTTTGTACAATATAAAATAGGAAATTGGTTTAGAGACAAGTGAATATGATTATCTATATTATAGACTGAAATAGGAATATTTAAACTGAAGCTTCATAAAAGACAGCATTAACACTAATCTGAATGATTGAATAAAAGTATATTCGTGAGTTAAGCCTAAAGAAGAGGCAACACCCGTCGTTCAAGCTATATTTATAATAGGCATCATATTCTGTCACTGTATTCACTGAGCTGTTTGATTTCACGCTAAAGTCGATACCAAATGTTACGACAGTATAAGTTTATTAGGGCTGAAAAAAGAGACGTGGTTTTATTGATTAAATGAATCTTAATAAATGGGCAACAATAATCTCTTTCACTTTTTGCACTTCTTTTTGCTTCAAATGAAAAAGCATTCTATATCATTCAGCTCAGAAAGACCTTCAAAAAGCGCAAACCTAAATGAATGTAAAGCATTCAATCTTGTTCATTATCAGTCAATGTTTAACATTATTCTGGTATAGGCACAGTAACACCAACTCAAGACGCGCATTATTCCAGCATAGTAAATCAAGAAGGTGCCTCTTCTTCCTCAAGGGAATGAAGGCCTTCGAAAAAAGAACAACAAAAGACTGATAAGTAAAATGCACTTTTAAAATTCAAAACAGAGTAAAAGGCTCTAAAGGAAATCAAATGCCCCTCTTGTGGGTTAACAACACTCGCACGATCAACGAGCAACCTGTGCCCAGACAAGAAAGCAAAAATCCCTGTATGTAACTCTGATGAAAGGGTTGAAACCTTTGTAATTAAGACTTCCTTACCTAATGTTTGTAACAATCGACAACTTGTTCAGCATATCAAGGGTCTAGCAGATTATACCACTAAAATTTTGTTTGTGAGCTCCCTTTTTGCCAACTTCATCTTCATCAAACTGCTCGATGACAGCCAGACTATTCCAATTATTGAACAGAGTTTATTCACGAATATATTTGCGGTAATGACTGGAAATAGAAAGAAAGCACCACATTATTTCAAAGGACACTTCACTCTTTTCTGTGAATTGACAACTGTAGATCGCGAATCTTTAAAAAGTATAAACTACTCAAGTATTTTTTCCATCACTGGTAAGCAATACGAAGTCCTGGTTAGAAATCACATTCACGAGACACACAAACAAAGATCGATAACGTATTTTCTGAATATGATGTCTGACAACAATTCAAGTAATTGTTGTAAAAAGCTTCCAGTGGCTTCCAGAAAAGCTTTGACATATTTCATTTACAAACAAAAGCAAGGTTCAAAGCCATCTTGACTATTGTCTGTCCCATGCAATAGCTACTATAAAGAAATCACTGGAAACATAGCAAACATGTGGTCTAAATACTAACCAGATCAATGTGATTCCAATACGCTTTACTCAAAGCCGCACCTGTTCCTCAAGTGGTTCTATTTTCTGTCGCAAGAATTGAAAAAAAAAAGGCTTTTATTATGGAAAACGTGCCCTCAAGAGTAGCCTCCAAAGCTTATGTGTATCGTAAGCTCAGAGAGCTTCCATTCACTGATGTTTTAAACAAAAAAAAAAGCCTAATTCTTTAAGAGAAGAAACATTACAATCAATCAACTCCAACAAGACGTTTGCTCCAGAAAAAAAACTAGCCAAGCTTACTCTTCAACAAGTATCAGTTGTTCAAATTTTATTGATACAGTTAAAACAAGAATACAAGATGACACGTTCACTCCTGCTAAATACACTGACAAAAGAGGGTGTCTTTTTTTTTTTTACTATCGCGCTTATATATTCTGTTCAGACAAAATCAATTCAAATTGACGCTCAAGCTTTTTGGAGGCAGGTAAAGCAGTGCAGCATATCAAACTACCCGAATCTGACTTGACTGATTTTTACTATCATTTGCTAAATGTTTATTGTCAAATCCTCATCAACAAAACTCACAATTCACCATCAATTTCACAAATTATATCTTTCTTATTTTTCGAGATAAGACGTTATTATCGTATTTAACTTGTCTCTAAACTAATGTCTTTTTATCTGAAGCTCATTTTTATCTTGTACGAAACAGGTAAAATTACATTTTGATTCGTCTAAAAAAAACTAACATCGTCTGAATTTGAAGTAGAAACACTGCACTTCCAAAAAAGTAAAGCCAAGCCTCAAGTAAATTTAAGGTGCATCTTTATCTTTTGTATAATAAACCTTCAACCATGTCAACTAGATTAGCCAAACAAACTTTAAATCTATTAAACGATACTAAAAAGACAAACAATGACAAAGATACATCCAAGAAGCTCAAATTACCTAAAATCAATAAAGGAATTCGAAAAGTGAAGCATGAAATGCGATATGGTCGACATAAAAAGACAAATCTGTTACAAAAAGAAAAAAAGAGACATGAGAATCCGTTAGATCAGCTACATCAAGAAGAATTATCAGCTGAAGAAAGACTAAAGCGTAATGTTCAACTTTTACAAAGTGCTTTAAAAGCGAGTGAAGTAGAAAAGACGATTTACAGAGACGTATGTACATCCTTTTTTATATTTTCTTTTCATACTAACTATTATATAGGTCATCAAAGAAGCAAAATCAAAAAGAGGTAAAAAGTGGTCAAGTGAAGTGGATGGTTCAGAGGGAGATGCTGCATATAATAGTGATTAAGTAACTAAAAAAAAAATAATGAATAAAAGATAAAGTGTTGTCGCTTTATACTTACCGAGACGTTAAGGAATGTACTGCCGTTATGGACAGCGCATTAAATCCAAGAGCACCGTCAGTCTTTTGAAGGAAGGAGGACTTTCACTGTCATGATTTGATTTGTAAACAAAGATACCATATATATTTTATGTATTGTTCATATCGCGATTCCAAACCGTACCACAAGATTCACACTTGAGAACAGAGTGTTCTCTTCGCTTTGATCCAGATTGAGTAAGAGAAGTTGATTCGCAAAAGGCCTTGAAGCTTCTCTTGATACTATCAGGGGTATGTTTTCCTTGGCCAGCAAAGATAGAGAAGATGTTATAGAAAAAATTTTGAGTGACCAAGAAATAGTATTTAGCAAAAATGGATCTGGTGTATATCAGTTGAGTAATGTGGTCAACTATTTCTTGAACCAAGGTAACGAACTTGAGATATCTACAAATATTAGCCAAAGATGTCTTGATCGCCGAAGTTTTTTCAACTATATCTTTGGGCTTTGAAAGCTTCGTTTTTTATTTGTTCATGACACAAATTGCTGGAGAAGTGAAAGTGATCAGTTCCGCCACAAGAAGGACATAGAACTTGCTTTTGCTCATTACTTGTTGCCTTTTTAAGTGCTTCAGTCTTGTCGGCCTTGCTTTAATATTTCTTTGTAGTCGTGATGGAATCAGATGTACAGCCAGTGGAAGGAATAGGAGCGGGTAATACAGCTTCAACGCTCAAAGTATAACTGACTGCAGGAGTGTGTCTTTTCATTGATAACAACATTTGAAGGGCCAAATAACATGCGTATTCTTGTCTATTATAACACTCAGCTATAAAGCTGATGTAACAAATAGATGTTATCTTTACCTTTTCTAAATAATGGCGTATCTTGAAAATCGTCATCACTTGCTTCAAAAGCTGTACTTTTGAATAAATTTGTCTGCGTCTGTGCAAACAAAGAAGGGAACCCGCGACCAGCGGCTAAATGGACCCTTAATATATGTAGCGTCAACTTTATATTTTACATACTTTTCTCTTTGGAGGCGGAGGGTTATCATCTTTTCTCTCGTCCTATATTGAAGTAAAGTAAAGAAAAAAGGAAACTAAACTGCGATTAGCCCTGTCATGTTAATGATGAACAAGTTTCTGTTTAATCATGTTTTGTTTAATAGTAAAATGTTTCTCAAATGAAAAAGCACTCTACTTTTGACATATTACACATCTTGATATGATCCGTTTCTATTAAAAACTGACGGCCAAAGTACTCTTCTTTATAAAAGTGATAGATAAGAGCGGCTTCCCAAAAAAGACGCACGATGACCATGGAATTATAGTAGCACATGAGCCCCTATTTTTTATATTTATATTTTTTTTTTACGGTATTGCAAGAGAATATGATTGTATCGAGTTATGGTCAAATTTGACACGCTCGAAAGAATGGGCTTGGAATTCTTTATTATTTTCAGCTGTGACTTAACGCAACGGCTTATTTAGAGAAGAAGCTTTATACGCCATCATTGCAATAATAGCCGCACCAAAACCAGAGCCATCACGAGATAATGAAAACTTGATATGCTGTGCCATATCTTGTCCAAGCAGCTCAGAAAGGGTCTCTTTCATTTGTTCTTCAACATGAGGAAAGAACTCATAAACAGACCCATCAACAGCTATAGTCGTATTTTTTCCTATATGGCCCGTAAAGGACAATACGGCAGCTATTCCACTAGCAGAAAGACGGGCAGCACGACGCCCAACAAAACTGCAGATCAGTTGGACCATCTGACGATCTGCCAATGATGTCGATGTTATCTGAAGATCATCTTCTAATATATGACGCGTCTCGTCTAAATTCTCTAAACTGTCAGCTACGATAGCAGACATATAAGATGTTTCAAAGCTCCATTGCTCATTGAGTTCTGATGACGAATTTCCAGAAAAGAGGAGTCGGCGGTCCACAAGGTGTAAGATCACATTACGCGCGATCTCTCCTAGGTACATGCCAGATACCATTTTTTCAAAGGGTTGTTTACGTGGATTGATTGACTCGCGATCGAGCTTGTTATCAAAAGCAGTATAAGGCAGCACGCGTCTCTCGAGATCAAATGCTCCCCATTCCATGTTGATGACCATATCATCAAATGCCTGCTCTCCTCCTTCCCATTTCGTAATGTTTTGAAGCTTTTCGTAATAAGCTAATTTGACGTGTGGGTATTACGCTTGGGTGGGTACACAACCTGTGTATATGTAGTCTTACCAGCATTAGTTCCTGTTCCTAGAATAACGCCCATAAATGATTCTGGATGACGGTAAGAGTGAGCCATTAAAGTTCCTACTGTATCATTCACCAGCTTGGATAGAGTTAGCTCGTTTTCATTTATAACTAGGAATACTTACTGCAGCAACATGAACTTGCACATTCTTTCGTAAAAAGGCGTCTTGAAGCATGACGACAACATCTTTATCAATAGCATTTCTACAAGAGAATCCCTTTGTCCATTGCATCAGAGTGCCTCTGTTAATCGCGGTTTGATTCACCGGAAAGGAAAATGTGAAGCCTAGCTCGAGTGTCTCTTCGGAAGATCCAAACTCGAAAATAAAGTTATCCACACAGTCTGCAATAAAATCAAACAAGTGGCGTACGTCTCCTGTCTTGAGTTCTTCCGAAATGATATATTTTTGTTGGCGTACGCTGTAATTCCCGTCACCCTTTAGCTCAAACTCACATACCCGCAGATTCGTTCCTCCTAGATCCAGCGCGAGATACTTTCCCGTCTCGTTCCCGGTAGGACGACCGGTGACAAAACTGGGAATCATAGGTACTATATAGACAAGTTGAACATCTGAATTCATTTAAATAAAGGCAGAAAAGTTACCTGAAGCACCTTTGTGGTTTAAGCCCTTTTGCATCTCTTCCATAAAGCTATTGACAATGGCTCGAACACTTTCAACTGTAACATTGAATTGTTGATACAATTGCTGTATGGCGACCTGTTGCTCCTCTGTGCCACTTATTCTAGGCACCTCATTATTTGATATAGTCTGAGACAAAGGAAGTGTACTGATCATATTTAGAAAAAGAAAAAGGGAATAGATGAAACAAGAGAGAAAGAGAAGAGAGATTAGCTTTTTTTTTTTTTCCCGTAAGCATAAATTTCCAAGAACTAATTTTTCAGGATCCCACGGATTACAACTAGTAACCATAAAAGGTTGAAGCGGAAATCAGCGGTAATGGGACATTCCTGGTTAAACCGAGAAAGAAGGATGAATTGTGTGTATGACTTTAATTTCGCGTAACAAGAGTCTTTCTCTTCAAATATATCTGTTATAGAGCTGCAAGTTTAGATATGTGTCAGAAAAAAAGGATGATTTCTAATTAGGTTGGTCTGAAGCGACTTAAAAAAGGAGGGCAGTAAGGCTTTGAAAGGCATTTATCAATGCTTAAGCAAATGAACTTTGGGCTGAAGTCAGCTGACACTTTTCTTATATATCATACACGTACATACACTGTAAATGTTCCTTTATTGTTGAAGCCTTTGCATCATCATCATTACATCAGAAAAATCTTCACCATTTTCACCTACATACATATTGTTGCCGCCGAGCATCAGATTATTATTTGGATTGATCAGTATTGAACTTGGGTTAATCATGCCGTTAGCTGCTAGCAAATCAGTAGGTGCCATTTGCTGTGGCTGTTGTAGTGGTATCGAGGTCATGCTAGGTGAATCCATATTTTGTTGAATAGGACTGAATCCATTGGATATGTTTACATTGTTGGGCGGTGAAGATATGTTTAGGCCCATATTGGCGATCATTTGCTGTTGCTGCATCAAGTTTTGAGCTTGCTGTGCCTGTCTCAAAATAGCCTGTGGGTCCATCATCATGTTGCTACGTCCCATGTTAGGATTGAGAGCCATGTTGGGTCCAATGGCGGTGGTTGATGGTGTAGAGGCCATATGGCCATTCATACCACCCATTCTATTCATGTTGAACTGCTGTTGCTGTTGTTGTTGTTGTTGTTGACGCATAACAGCAGCAGCAGCAGCTTGTTGTTGTTGTAGCAACTGTTGCTGTTGTTGTTGTTGTGGTTGTTTGATTTGTTGTAGATTTGGCGATGATTGCTGTGTAGATGATTCGGATCGTTTATGTTGGTTTTGTTGTACTTCTACTGGATAATTGGATGCAGGGTAACTCTCAAATAATGATATCGCATTATTTAATAATTCATGAATCTTTTTTCCAATGTCTGATTTTGCTGGAGGTAAAGGGGTAAGATCGGGTGGTGGTGGTATCTTGATATCCTAATTGAAAAATCAATATACTGCTGTATCAAAGCTCTTTTTCTCTCTTACTTCTCCTGGTTTTACCATAGAAATATCTGCCATTGTAGCAAGAAAAGTCAGATTTGACTGTAATTTCGCTTGATATCTAGCAGATATGATATTGGATTACAATACACAAAGAAAAGCCGTGTACACTTACGCTGTGATATCTGCTTCTAGATTTCCGCCTGCGTTCTTATTTTCAATAAACAATCGGATCAATTCCTTGTTCATGGCTAATATCTGTTTTGACAGAATGAGTATCCTTGTGTAAGAACTGCAAGAAAAACTTACGACTTCGACACGTTTCGTATTTAATTCTGTTTCATTGACAGAGAATCCTGTTTTTTTTATATCTGAAAGCGCGTCTGCTGTATTGGATGGGTCCATAGCATTTGCTGCGCTAAATAGTATTTGCTGTTGTTGATGAGGATGTTGCTGCTGTTGCTGCTGCTGATGTTGTTGCTGTTGTTGTTGTTGTTGCTGTTGTTGTAATTGCTGCTGCTGCATTTGCTGTGCCTTTCTCATTTGTTGTTGCTGAAGCATGAGGAACTGTCTCTTTTGTTGCTCATCCATTCTCTGAAAAGCCAGCTGTTGTTGTTGCTGCTGTTGTTGTTTCTGCCATTGTTGTTGTTGCTGCTGTTGTTGCTGTTGCTGTGGTTGTGGTTGCGGCTGTGGTTGAGGACTTCTGAATTGTTGTTGTTGTTGCTGAAGCTGTAGCAATTGCTGCTGTGGAGTCATCATCGGACTCTGCAGTCTTTGAGGGGATTGTAAAGTAGCCATTGAGATTGCAGGTGAGTTTTCCATGGAGGAAGCAGCTACCATATTAAACATTGGATTATTACTATAGACTTGTCTTTTAGCAAACATATTTGGTATCGCTTGCTGGTCAAACATTTGTGGTTGTTGTTGTTGTTGTGGACTGTTCGTATTACCATTTCCATTACCGGCATTATTCTGCGGGTTAAAGCTATTTATTAATTCGGGTGGCAAATTTGCCATAAAGTTTTGGTTATAAGCATAAAGGTTATTTTGGTTTGCCTGTGGCGTATATGGGTTCATTATGTATTTTTACGTTAAAGAAGGCAAAAAAAAAGTTTGATCGCCTGGTAAAAGGATACATTTATTGTCCGGCTCGGACTATGTTCAAAAAAGGGATATAAGGACAGTGTGAACAAAGGGAGAAGAGGGGACAAAAAATATCATTGGCTTTTTTCTTTTTTGTTTATTTTAAATAAACCAAGAAAACCAATTCTTATTCCATATTTGTTTATTGCATAGTTGAACAAAGGATAACAGGGGGTGACTTATGTAAGTCCCGTTAGTGCTTAATTGTGAATAATAAGACTAATCATGAATACAAATAGTATAATAGAAAAATGAGTGTAAATAAAAAGACAGAAAACTCCAAGAGTGAAGAATTAGATCCACACAAAGAGGTATTTAACCCTCATGAAGAATATTTGGACAAATCAGAAAAGGAAGCCAAGGCTACTTTCTTTGTATATATGCTCGTTGTTTGTGTATGTGTGGGTGGATTTCTGTTTGGTTATGACACTGGAGGTAATTATAATACGATTTATGTCTTTGCAGAAAATCTTATTTGTGGGTGTCTGTATAATAGTCATTTCTGGTGCTTTGGTCTTCATTAAAGATGAGTTTAACCTATCCAAAACTCAAAGGGAGCTTGTAGTAGGTGCTACAACATTTGGTGCCATCTTTGGTGGATTCTTTGCTGGCGTTGTAAGTTTCTTCTTTTCTCATGATATCATTTGTATTCCATAAACTAATTTCATTTTTCTTGAATTTTCTATAATGCAGTTTACAGACAGATTTGGCAGAAGGGTTTGTACTACATTAAATCTCCGATAACTCAAGGGGCACTAACCAATACATTGTAGATCCTTGTCATCATCTCATCCCTTGTATTTATTGCTGGAGCTCTTATTATGGCACTTGCTAGATCATTTCCAGTTCTTCTGATAGGAAGAATAGTTGTTGGTTTGGGCGTTGGTATCGCATCTATGATTGTCCCCGTCTATGTTAGTAAGTAGTACCAGCAACATTAAGAATAACCATGTGACTAACTTAATTTCAGGTGAACTCTCACCAAAAAGCATCCGAGGACGTCTTAATACACTGAATACACTCGTTGTTACATTTGGACAAGTTATCGCTTACGTCATGAACATTGCCTTCAGCAGAGTCCCAGACGGATGGCGATACATGTTTGGTATTGCCGGTATTCCTGCCTTATTTCAATTAATCATTATGCCTTTTCTACCGGAATCTCCCCGTAGATCAGTAGCTATTGGCAAGATGGATGATGCCAGAAAGGCCATCCGCAAGATTTACGGAGACAGTGTTACTGACGTATTTATTGAACAAGAGATTAGAATGATTGATGACGATGTCCATGCCAGTCGTTCAGGAACATTTAAAGATTTTATGCATAAGGATAACTTTATGCCTTTGATCATTGCATGTATCTTGCAGGGCGCACAACAATTATGTGGTTTCAACGCTGCCATGTATTACGCTGCTACTATTCTTAAAATGGCTGGCTTCCGTAGTAACGAAGGCTCAACAAGTGTCGCCATCATTGTCGCTGCAGCTAATATGGTGTTCACCGCCATCGCTGTCTTTGTCATTGACAAATTGGGTCGCCGAAAAATGCTCTTGATTACTATGCTCTGCATGATTGGAGGCTTGATCGCTCTGGGTGCATCGTTTGCAGCTCAACAAGGTTTTGTTACTAAACAATCTGATTGCGCGCTGTACTCGAGTAACTGTGCTCGTTGTGTACTCGACGAAGATTGTGGCTGGTCTGCCTCGAGTAACCAATGTGTAGCCCTTAAAAATACCAACCGGCTAGACATTTTACAAACCTCGACCGGGTGTCCTTTTGAACCCAGAGACAGAGCTATTACAGGTGTTTTGCTTACCTTCTTGATTGTTTATGTTGGTAGTTATGCATTAGGACTTGGTTATATTCCTTGGTTGGTACAATCTGAGATGTTTTCTATATCCATGCGTGGAAAAGCCAATGGTATTGCTACAGCAGTTAATTGGATCTGCAATTTGATCATCTCTACTTCTTTCCTCTCAATGACTGAGGCAATGACTGCAGCGGGCACCTTTTGGTTCTATGCAGGCATGTCCCTGATCCTATGGCTTACACTTGTCAAGCTGATGCCTGAGGTAAGCTATATGGAATGTACTTTATGTTTATTAACTCTTTTTTGTTTAGACTTCTGGAAAGTCATTAGAAGAAATTCATGAATACTTTCTCAAGATTTAATTTGTAATAGTACCCCCTTAATTCGGTTTTGTACCAAAATGTAAATTAATCTTCCACAAATTATACATCAAATGCTTGGAAAACCATTGCTCTTCATGTTCAATGTTTTGAGATTCCATTTTTATAAAAATAAGCTTTGACATGTTTATTTAAAGAATATAAAAGAAAAATTAATACTTCGTCGACCCTCCTTTTGTGGTAATTACCGCCTCGCATCGAGCCTTCATGCTTTCGACCAAACATGCAGCTAACCCAGGGCCTATTTTCTCCCACTCTTCTCTCAACGCGACACTCAACTCTTCAGTATTTCTTATCTCACTTCTTGATAAGGCTACCCAAAGTGACTCATACATACTCTATCGGGTTCAAATCAGGACTTTAAGCAAGTCAGTCAAAGCCCCTGGCCTGGTGGGCTTCCTTCCATCATTGAACATAGCTACCAGTTGTGGCAGCTAGCTCCATTCTCTTGGAATATAAACTTCCTATCCTCTTTCTAGCAGAGTTGTGCGATCCAAGATGAAAGTTTTGGGCTAAAATATTTATATATTTGTCTTGATCAACTGTGCTGTCAACCAAGACCAAAGGGCCAAAATCATTGGCATGAAAGCAGCTCCAAATCATCATCCCCGCCGCTTCCATACTTCTTCGTTGATATCTCGTCTATATTGAATATATTCTTGCTCACGTTGACACATTATTCGTATTTTATGATTACAAAATAGCAAAGGATCGCTTCTACCTGTATCAAGACAGGCAAAAAGCAGAAGAAGAAATGGTGAACATGCTTGCTTATGAAGGTACTAAGTATAACAAGAAGAAAAGAAAGAAGAGAAACAGGAAGAAAAAAAGAAGCAAGAAGAAGCAAAACCCGACAGCAAATTTAAAAGAAAAAGAGAACCAAGCTGCCAAAAACAGGTATGTAATCAATTTTAGCTTTGATATTCAAGTCTTATCTAATTATTGCTTTAAAGAAGCCAAAAGTGTAAGTCCGTAAAGTTCCAAATGGAAAGAGAGAAAGTGCCCCTTGTAGCCTTTGGTACGGGAATATTTGGTAAAGACTCTATAAAGCTGAAGGGAAATGGGTGTGGCGTCACTGATGTTTTTTGGCGAGCGTTAAAAAGAAGAGAAGCAGCTGGAGATCTCATCGCCGTTACAATTGATGAATACAAAACTTCAAGAGCTTGCAATGCTTGTAATAGCGATCCTCTTGCAAGAATGTCTGAATTAGAAGGCTTTAGTGTCTTGGTTTGTTGCACCTGTAAGACATTATGGCAACGAAATGTCAACGCTTGTAAGAATATGCGTCCATTTCTCTTTCGATTTTGAATGAAAAAGGCCGATCTTCCAAGTATGGAAGAAATTAAATGTTTTTTAAAATCGCCGTAATGAACACGGTTTCCCTTCTGGGATAAAAGCTGTTGCAGGTAAAGAAGATGTCTGATAATTTTACTTGATCCAAAAAAAAAAGCTCTGATTTTTATTAGATTTTTGTATAGTACGAACACTAGTTCGGTGTGATTGTAGTACCCTCTTATTTGTATTTTAATGCACAGCCTTTTCAGAATGTAAAGTTGCATTTTTGTAGTTTTTACAATACAATGTATACGAAAAGGTGACAAGTCAGCGCGACATCTCTTTCTGTAAATAGTGTATTTTTTGTTATCCTGATAAATTTGTACATTTGATTTCCCCTAAAGTGACACACAGCACTAAGTGACTATTCTTTTTCATGTCACGATTTTTTTATTTTTTATGAAAAAAAAAAATAATACATCAATTTTTAGTTCACAACCATAATCTAGGCCCCAATGCCTCCATTCAATACTCTTGAAAGAGAAAACTTGTTTCGGAATCCTTCTAATGAAAAGTTTGGAGCACCTGCTTTACAGGAGGCAGTTGCCCCACACATTGAAGCATTCAACAGTATTACAGAGTTTGGAGAAGGACAGCCAGGATTACTAGACTACGCTATACAAGACCTTGGCACCATGTCAGTATTTGATAATGCAGACAGTAGCATCAATGTCGACCCTAGTGGAGCCCCACTTGGCAATAAGCTCACTTACTGGGTTGAAGACCCCAAACTTCACCAACCTATGGTCAGTGAACGAGATACGACAACATTGAAGAGAAGAACCTATCCAAGCGAATGCCGTGAACGTCTTTGCACATACCGTGGTAGACTTCAAGTCAAGCTTTGCTGGAGAGTCAACAATGGCCCTGTTCAGTCAGACATTAGAGATCTTGGACAAGTGCCAATCATGGTCAGGTCTAACCGCTGTAATCTCAAAAATATGTATCCCAAAGAACTCATTGCTCATCATGAAGAATCAGAAGAAATGGGTGGCTATTTTATTGTCAACGGTATCGAAAAGTTGATTCGTCTTTTGATCGTTCCTCGTCGCAATCATGTCACTGCCATCATCCGTCCCTCCTTCCAAAATCGTGGTCCAAGCTACACTACCTTTGGTTGTTCTATCCGTTGTGCTCGCCGTGACCAAACAACGTTGACAAACACCATTCACTACTTGAGCGACGGTAATGTCATGTTCCGTTTTGCTTGGCGTAAACAAGAATACCTTTTACCAGCCATGCTTGTATTCAAGTCATTGATCGATTGCTCTGACAAGGAAATTTTCGACGCACTTTGTCAAGGAGATACATCCAACACTTTTTTGACAGATCGTATCGAACTTTTACTAAGATCCTTCAAGATTTATAACCTTTACACCCGAGAGCAATGTCTGAGCTATTTGGGTGAAAAGTTCAGAGTCATTATGGGGCTTGATGAAGATTTGACAAACCTGGAAGTTGGTGAAGAGCTTATGAAGAAGCTTGTGTTAATCCATTTGGATAATAACCGTGATAAATTCAATCTGCTCGTCTTTATGATCCGCAAGTTGTACGCACTCGTCTCTGGCGAATGTGTTGCAGATAATCCAGATGCACCTCAGCACCAAGAAGTTTTATTGGGTGGACACCTTTATACGATGATCATTAAAGAAAAGATTCATGACTGGCTGCAATCAATTAAAGCTCAAGTTCGTACTGATCTTAGATTGAATCCTGCTAGAGTTGACTTTTTCAATAGTAAATATAGACAGATTTATTATTGTATATATGCTGACTCTTCTTTTTAACCTGTAGATACCTATTTCCAAAACTCCTATCGAAAGGTCAATAGTGATATTGGTGGTAAATTAGCATATTTCTTAGCTACGGGTAACCTTGTCAGTAAGACAGGTCTTGATCTTCAGCAATTCTCCGGTTTTACCATTGTCGCTGAAAAGCTCAACTTCTTCCGTTACTTGGCTCACTTCCGTTGTATCCATCGTGGTGCTTTCTTTGCCGAATTGAAAACCACCTCCGTCCGTAAGCTGCTTCCTGAAGCTTGGGGTTTCCTCTGTCCTGTACATACTCCTGATGGTTCTCCATGTGGTTTGTTGAACCATTTGGCACATAAATGTAAAGTCATCAACCAGCCTCTTGATGTGAAAGCTGTACCACGCTTGTTAGCATCTCTTGGTGTTTCTCAAAGCTTCCTTCACACCATTAACCGTCCTGGTGATGTTGCTGTCATGCTTGACGGAAAGATCGTTGGCTGGTGTACACCCAAGACTGCCGAAAAGGTCGCTCAGAGCTTGAAGGTCTGGCGAGTGAACAATGAAAAAGGCGTGCCTTTGGACATTGAAATTGCATACGTCCCATCTACATATGGTGGTGAGTATCCTGGTCTTTACTTATTCTCATCACCTGCTCGTATGATGCGTCCTGTCAAGTTCCTCGGTAATGGCAAGACAGACATGATCGGTACCTTTGAACAAGTATATATGGACATTGCTTGTATGGATGATGAAGTTGTTCCAGGCGTCACCACTCACCAAGAGTTCACTCCTACCAACATTCTTAGTATCATTGCGAACCAAACACCCTTCTCTGATTTTAACCAGTCTCCCCGTAACATGTATCAATGTCAGATGGGTAAGCAGACCATGGGTACACCTTCGACCGTGTTCAACCACCGTACGGACAATAAAATGTATCGTATCCAAACTGCTCAAACACCCGTGGTCAGAACTGAACTTTACAACCATTATGGCTTAGACGGCTGGCCACAAGGTACCAATGCCATTGTCGCTGTCATCTCGTACACCGGTTACGATATGGAAGACGCCATGATCCTGAACAAGTCAGCACACGAGCGTGGCTTTGGTTATGGTACTGTCTACAAGTCTGAAATTGTTGATTTGAACCAGTATCGAGCTCGTGGAGAAGCCATCACCTACCGCTTTGGTCTTGATCCTATCAAAGGCAAGAAATACAAGAATATTTTGGGCTCTGATGGTCTTCCTCATATTGGTGCTCATTTAGTAGCAGACGACCCACTTTGCTGTTACATTGATGAATCTACGGGTAAGGATGTCGTCAAGAAGTACAAAGGTCCTGAAGATGCCTATGTGGAAGAAGTCCGTGTGTTGGGCGACGATGCTGGCACCGGAGAACTTCAAAAGGTACACATCAAGCTTCGTATCACCCGTTCTCCTGTTATTGGTGATAAGTTTTCATCCCGTCACGGACAGAAGGGTGTTTGCTCTCAGAAATATCCTGCTATTGATATGCCATTCACTGAATCAGGCATGCAACCCGATGTCATCATCAATCCCCACGCTTTCCCCTCACGTATGACCATCGGTATGTTTGTTGAAAGCATGGCTGGTAAAGCAGGTGCTTTACATGGTATCGCTCAAGACAGTACGCCTTTCAAATTCAACGAACAAAATACAGCTGCAGATTACTTTGGTGAACAACTGATAAAGGCTGGCTATAATTACTATGGTAACGAACCCATGTATTCGGGTATTACTGGTGAAGAAATGAAAATGGATATTTACATTGGTGTAAGTTTGAGAACACGCACAGTTATGAATAATATATTGATCCGTTGTTAGGTTGTTTATTATCAACGTTTGAGACACATGGTCAACGACAAGTTCCAAGTACGTACAACTGGCCCAGTACACAACCTGACAATGCAACCTGTGAAGGGTCGTAAGAGACATGGTGGTATTCGTTTTGGTGAAATGGAACGTGATTCATTATTGGCACACGGCACAAGTTTCTTACTACAGGATCGTCTCATGAATTGTTCAGATTACTCTCAAGCCTATGTCTGTAGATTATGTGGATCTTTAGCATCACCTATTTGTACAAAGATTGTTTCATCCTTAGGCAACCGCCGTACATACGAATGTAGAACATGTAACACATCAAAGGGCATTGACTTGATCGCTATCCCCTATGTATTTAGATATCTCACAACCGAATTAATGAGTATGGGTATCAAGTTAAACTTGGGCATCAAGCCTTAAAAGGCTATATCCTGTTATACACGCACATACACACACACGCACTTTATCATTTTTTTCTTATTTTATTGTATAATAAAACTTTTCAGCATAGAAATCCCAAAAAATATTTTTAATGAATTAGGAGAACTATCGTTGGCATTTTGACTTATAAATTTTCCTTGTTTCTTTAACTATAAAGAGTGATGTTCTTTTTTTTTTTCTCCTTTAAAACCAATAATGATCAAAACAACGACAACCATCTGTTATATTGTCGTTTTACTTGCTCACAAAGTGATGAGCACTTCCATGAAAGCGCATGATGTCAAACAAGTGTCTCAGACCAGTACATCTTTGCTTGCTCAGACGTCCCCTGTTTGGCTCTCTGACGTCCATGGCCCCCTAGACGACAGTGTTGTCAAAACTTACCCTCGTGACGAAGACATCAAGGCTGGATCTCTTCCGGAGCATTCATCCATCCAACTCTTGAACGGGTACCCGGAACCAGATAAGCAACCCTCTGCTGATCACCCTGAGGTTCAGGCCGTGTTAGACCATCTTGATCTCTCGATGATCCCCAACATAGAGCCAAGAAAGGTCAGGGACTGGACGCTGGACACCTCAATGTATGATGTGGCCCAGGATCCCGATTGCTGGTGGTCTGCTTCACTCTGTATGAAACCCAAGGCCAATTATATTCCCGAAGATATCTACATGTGTCCCAACAAGGGTGATTGGGGTCTTAACTTTGATGATGGTCCTTACAAGGCATGGTGGCCTGAGTCTGAGAAGGATAAAAAGTACGATCAGCCCAGATTATATAACTTCCTTGTCAACCATGGCAAGCAAAAGGCAACTCTTTTTTGTAAGTATAACTTGCCTATGTGTATTAGATATTCAGCTGAATGTGCATTTTTATAGTCGTCGGATCCAATGTTGTTAAATTTCCAGAAGCAGCCATCAGGGCACTCAATGATGGTCATGTTATCTGCTCCCATACTTGGTCTCATCCACAGATGACAACCTTGACAAACGAACAAGTGGTCGCCCAACTTTACTGGACACAAAAGGCAATCAAGCAAACACTTGGCATCACACCTAGGTGCTGGCGACCTCCCTATGGTGATGTGGATGATAGAGTTCGTGCTATTGCTTGGCAGATGGGAATGCGTACCATTTTATGGGATCAAGATTCGAATGATTGGAACTTGGTGAGTTCTTTTTGTTTTCTATTTTTTCATATTAACGTGGGATGTTTAGGTTGGCGGTAAAATCAGGGCAAAGGCTATCGATGGGTACTTTCAAACCTGGATCAATGCAAGAAAGAATGGCACTGATGACGAACATGGACATATCACACTCGTAAGTTTTTCTTTTTTATATACAGAGTTCATTAATGATTTGTTTTATAGCAACACGAGAATAGTAATGCAACTATTCATTTGTCCGAGAAATGGTTACCAAAAGTCCAAAAGTCGTTCCGAGTGATGCCAATTCATCAATGTCTCAATGATCCACACCCATACTGGGAAAAGAACTGGATCTATCCCACACTAGATGACCCTAATCCTCCAAGAGCAGCTATGTCAGATAAAGAAAGTAATGTACATGGCGCCAATGTTATTGGCAACGCAAATGATGCTACAAGTACCTTATTCTCTTCCCTTAAAACATCTTTATACACCACCATGTTTTCAAGTCTGTTACTTTTCTTGTTCCTCTTGCAGTAGCCCTCTTTGTTAAATTTATAGAATTAGAATAAAATACAGCAGACTTGCTTTAATTGCAAGATATGCAAAAGCGTAATCCTAAATCGTATGATCGAGAATGATTTGATGTACACAAAAGGGCGTTCTGCAGGCACATTCATATGTTAGTCTCATGATTCCGTAAGCCCTATAGTAACTAATCCTTTGCTTACCATTAGTGCGCGCCTCTTTTAAAGGAGAAGGATCACCCGCTGTTTCCCTCACTCCTATTCGTCTTGAGATTCGAGGTTGCGCATCATCAATAATAAGGACTTTTTTTTTTGTTTTCACCTGTAGAACTACACAAAAGACATTCTTTTGGACAATGAAGCATAATAACAAACATGGAATGAGTTGTGTAAAGCATTGGTTTATTATGAAGAACGAAATTATCGTGTTTGCGCTCCATAACTCAACTGGGTGAGGTATTCATCATTACTTGTTGTGCAAATAAGTTCTTCCTTATTTCCTGCATATAATTTTTCTGATACTTTTTCTGCTTGAAGAGACTATTTAAAACAATGAATCAGGGTTATTGTTTACAAAGCAAAAAAAGTAAAACTTACAAGCTGATCATAATAAACAACGGGCTGCCACTCTTCTTCTTCTGCGTTTTTCACAGACAGAGAGTATATATTCTTTCTGATGCCTCCTTCTCGCTCTGCATTCTTCACAGAGACCTGAACTGTCTGTGCTTGACCTGGTTCAGTGGTTTTCTTTTTCTCTTCTTGCTTTTCAACATCCTGAATACGCTTATTAGCCGCTTTCCACTTTTCGTCAATCTTGTCAATATATTTAAATCCTGGCCTTAATTGAACTGTTGTTCTTATAGGCGTCAAATGAAGTTCCTCTATAAAAAAAGGGTGTTGGTTGGCTCAACAGATATTATAACATATACACATACGATCTCGGATAACACCAATAGCATACTTTGTTTGAGTAGGCACTTGAGTAGAGGTCAAAGTCATCTTATCTAACAGTTCTTCGTCCTTCTTTTTGGATGCTCTGCTATAATAACCATTCAGTTCTTCTTCGTGTTCTTCCATACGTCTATCATATGCCGTTTTGATTGTCTTGTCATTAAGACCCATTGCAAAGTCTTCACCTCTTTCTGTGCTATAGAATGCTGAGCGAGTATCTAGAGGTAAATCAAGCTCGACCATTTTTGCATTTGGCTTTAATCGTGCAGCAGTGGGTCCTGTTCTTGCGTTGAATGGAGTTGATCGCATAGGGTACTGAAACAAGTATAAATATTTGGAAAGCTCATTGGTCAAATAGATGGGATATTCGGCCAAGACTTCATCCTCTTCTTCACTAATGCTCATTCTATCGTCTGTTATAGGCATGTTTTATGTGTTAAAAAAAAAGAGTCTGAAAGGCAGAAAGAAAGACAGAAAGAGTATGACTGTTAATTTAGGAGGTCACAAAACAAAAATGAAAAAAATGGGAATAAAGGAACACTTTATCAAACTGTTCGCACACTGATAACAAAATGATGATTTCAGACAACAAACAGTGATAAAAGAGAGCCCATCAGAAGTAAAAGAATGAGATATAAAAGAAATAATCAGTATTTCAGTTATTACATTGATCTTAAATACTTACATTATAAGGAAGAGGATTTATAAGAGAAAAAGAGAAGCAAGAAAAGTGAGTAAACATATAGAGAGATTATTAATATCTTATCCGAAGTGCATTAAATAGGGCTGGTGATAACTGGCCCGGAGAAAGAAGAGAAAAAGAGAGAGAGAGTGGATGGGACCAAGGCTTAGTAAGAACCAAACTATCCCCAGCCAGCACCGGGTTAGTTTCGATTGTGATCTATAATACTATATGTCAGTTTCTTACAAGAGTAAAGAATATAACATACCTTAGGGCTATCTGGGGAATAGCTGATCTTACTTTTTGGTCCAAAGAAGAAAAGAAAAAGAAGCCAAGATCAGACTATTTAAATAAAGTCTCTAACAACTTTTTCAGTTACGTGTTATTCATAAGCGTTGACCACATTTATCTTTTCTTCTCTCAAAAAGACAAAATTCATTGCCTTGATAATCAACCAAAGTGTAATTGTTATTGGTTTTAAATTGTGTGCGAACAATTTCTGATTTAAGTTTATTATCATTGACAAAAAGGAAAGGAGAATGAAAACAAAATGTGACATATGGCATCATGAGATAAAGAAGGGTTATTTTCTTCCATTTGTCCTATAAAAAAGGAAAGAATGCTTATAGTCATTTGGTGAAATAGTGAATGCATAAAGAAGGATAGAAAAAAATTCAAGTTTAATAACAATACACATAGAGTAACTTCATAGAGGGGACAAGCCAATATGGAACCTTTTGGAACACTCTTCTAGAAAACAAAAAACAATAAGAAATAGAAGCCACTAGTTGACAGAGCACTTACATATGTATTCTTCACATAGAGGACACCAAGTAGTAAAGTAGTATACCTTGTGGCGCAAACAGTAAGTCTCTGATCTTTTGCCGTTTCTACAGGTTTTACGACACGTCTTCATTTGAGATTGCTTGTATAAGTAAAGAAAGAAGTAATGAAAAGAGCAATACAGCTCTCTGTCTCTTATATACCTTAAGGGCGTTTTGTAAACTTAGCAATTGTCCTTTGTACTCTTTGCGCTACTCGAAAGCTCCTATTAGGTTCTTATGGCTAAAGAGACAAGTCGTTCATCATCTACTGGGTCATTGATTGATACAAAAGGGACCTCCTCATAAGCTTATTGATTCAGACAATGACCTACGTGGTCACCCCACAGTAAAATTAAATTATTATGGTGAAGCCAAAGACATAACAGCAGCCCTTCTTTTGAGCTTTTGCAAAATTCACAGAGATCTATTTTGGGGAATTATCTACATATAGAGCCTGTAATGTTGACAACATTGTATTTAGGGGGGAGTTGTTGCTCTAGATTATACACAGGAGTATTCTTTGCTACTATAAAAATCTATAGGTCGTTTACCGTCCCTTTGTGCTTGATAAAGACGGCTTTCTAAAGATATATCTGACAACTTTTTTATTCGACTGATTCCTTTATTCCAATATGAGGTTCCTTGTATGGTAAATCATGAAGATGATACAACAACAGTCTCTATCTTGACTTACATCAAGAGAACAATAATGAATAAAAAGTAGATAATTGAGACAAGTTATCTATGAAAATATGGTTCCTGAAGCCATGCTTTGAAACGTTACATTGTAACACCTCATTGGCATAAAATTTTATCAATTGACGCTTGTTCTGTAGTCATCAGTTTGTTTGTAGTATAAACACCTACATGGTTTGTTGTACGTAGGATTAAATGTATCATCATGAGCTTCCATACCACGTCTATTTTACACTTGTTTCAGTAAAATCAATCAATTATAATAATAGTGGTCCTTTACTGGTTAGACATTTATATACATAAAAGGCTTGAATTCGAGCTCTGTGCTTTTATGCTGAGCCAAATGATAAGATCTCGATGACATACTTGCAAATTCTCTCTCATTGTTTCTTTGTTGTAAATAGGTTGGGCATTGATGAATTAATTCAGAAAGAGATGTCACGATTACCAAATCGATCAACTTTTCTTTTCTTTGAAAGATTAATAATTAAGTCACTGTTAATTTTGATACGTCCCCTTTCTCCACTTTATCACGCACTGATCTTTAATATACAAAATTTATGTAATCTACCATCAGTTACACGCCACTTTTGATATCTCGTTTATCTACTCTCAAATGAAACTTGAATGTATCTAATGAACGGTTGAGGAATGCACTTGGTTAAATTATCATGAGAATATTTTATTTTTTTTTAGTTGAGAGGTTATCGATCTTATCAGCCGCAGCGTTATCAGAATATCTACACGCACCAACACAATAATGGACAGTGATAGAGAGAGACCCAAGTCACCTGAATGTAACATCAGGATGACTGTATCCATTAAGTGCTTAACAAACAAGAAATAGAAACAATGACAAGTGATATGAATAAAGATGAAATAGAGCATGTCGTCATTTGATTATCTCTTTAAAATATAAAACTATATTCATACTGAATGATTCTCATATTCAATACGATAAATAGCACTCCTTACACCATTTCCTACATCATAGGTTGCATTTTTCCAGAAGCAAGTTGTAAGTGAAGGGAGCTGGGTAAGGTACTCTGTGTCACTGAATTAAAATTTTTTATTCGCTTATATGGTTTGATCTCTCATCTGATAGCAAAAAAAAAGTATAAATATGCCCTTTTTTAAATTGACGCGATTTTTTTTTCTTCTTTTCATCATTCAAATAATTAATCATGGTTCTTAAAGTTGGTATTAACGGGTAAGTAAGTCAATTGCTCCAAGTAATATCTTGCTTATGCTTTCAATAGTTTCGGTCGTATCGGTCGTATTGTTCTTCGTGCTTCCTTGGAACGCGATAATGTTCAAGTTGTTGCTATCAACGACCCTTTCATTCCTCTCGACTACATGGTCTACATGTTCAAGTATGACTCCGTTCACGGTCGCTTCAAGGGTACCGTTGAACACAAGAATGGTAAGCTCATCGTCAACGGCAAGGAAATCGCTGTCTCTGCCGAACGCGATCCCGCTCAAATTCCTTGGGGTCAAGCTGGTGCTGACTTTGTTGTTGAATCCACTGGTGGTAAGTATTTCAGATAACAAAAGAAAGATGGGATATTGATGTATCATCTCTAGTCTTCACTACCACCGAAAAGGCTGCTGCTCACTTGAAGGGTGGTGCCAAGAAGGTCGTCATCTCTGCTCCTTCTGCTGATGCCCCCATGTTCGTCTGTGGTGTCAACCTCGATGCTTACAAGTCTGAATACCAAGTCATCTCCAACGCTTCTTGCACCACCAACTGTTTGGCTCCTCTTGCCAAGGTCATCCACGACAAGTTCGGTATTGTTGAAGGTTTGATGACCACCGTTCACGCTACTACTGCCACACAAAAGACCGTCGATGGTCCCTCTAACAAGGACTGGAGAGGTGGTCGTGGTGCTGGCGCCAACATCATTCCTTCCTCCACTGGTGCTGCCAAGGCTGTCGGTAAGGTTATCCCTGAACTCAACGGTAAGTTGACCGGTATGGCTTTCCGTGTTCCTACTCCCGATGTCTCCGTCGTTGACTTGACCGTCCGTTTGGAAAAGGGCGCCTCTTATGAAGAAATCAAGGAAGCCATCAAGAAGGCCTCCGAAAACGAATTGAAGGGTATCCTCGAATACACCGATGATGCTGTTGTCTCTACTGACTTTGTTGGTTCTACTGCCTCTTCCGTCTTTGATGCCGCTGCCGGTATTGCCCTCAACCCCAACTTTGTCAAGCTTGTCTCTTGGTATGATAACGAAATGGGTTACTCCAACAGAGTTGTCGATCTTCTCATCCACGCTGCTAAGGTCGATGGTGTCTTGGCTTAAAAAATATCATTTCATAGCATGCATTCATTCCCCCTCACATTAAAAAAGTCTATCTTTTTTGTTTATAATAAAGTAAACATACATACTTTCACATGAAGTGTCTGTCGGGAACTGAACTCTTCCCGCATTTAACGCGTTTAAAGGACTTTTGGCAACGTGAGAAAATATTAGACTAGAACAATCCGACTTTCTCCATGAGTATATTCCGGTTATGGTTGTTTGTAAATTCATGTGAATACGGGAACGTTTGAAAATAGGCGCGCATGCACAGGCGTGCTTCTGGAAGAGTGCGCATGTTTTATTATTATTTTAAAGCTTAGACTCAAAGAAGGTGCTTCTGTTCTTCTTTTGAGAAGCAGCCTTGTCATACTCCTCCTTGGTGACAGGTCTAGCTTCAATGGCAGGATTATAACCAAGACGAGGCTTGGATTGGTTTGCATTGGCCTTTTTATAAATCGTGACTACAACAGCACCACCAAGACCAATGTTATGCTGAAGAGCATACTTTACATTGGGAACCTGTCGTTCACCAGTCCAGTTACGTAATTGCCAAACGAGTTCTATATGCAAAATATGTGTGAATTTTTGCTCTTTTTGCATGTGAGAAATATATATTATTACCTGTGCACTGAGCAAGGCCCGTTGCACCAAGTGGATGACCCTTTGAGATCAAACCGCCAGAAGGATTAATGACGTATTTTCCGCCATACGTATTATTTCCAGAATCGATCAATTCGTGCGCCTTACCCTCAGGCACCAGTCCGAGAGCATCGTATGTCAAAAGCTCATTAGCGGAAAAACAGTCATGCAGCTCGATGACCTGCACGTCGTTAGGAGTAATACCGGCCTTCTTGTAAGCTTCAGCAGCTGCACGACGTGTCATGTCACAGCCAGCCCATTCCATCGCATCATCCGTGAGCAAACGAGGGGAATCTGTTGCCATGACTTGGGCTACAATCTCGACGGCTTGGTCCCATAGGTTGTGCTGACGGACAAAGTCCTCGCTGGCAAGGATAGAGCATCCAGCACCATCTGAGGTAGGGCAGCACTGAAGTTTGGTGAGAGGACCAAAGACCCTGGGTGACTTTTCGATCTGTTCAAGGGTATAAATATCTCTGAATTGGGAATACGGGTTCAATGCGCTATGTCTGTGATTCTTTTCTGCAATCTTGGCCAAGTGCTTTTCTGTAGCACCATATTTTTCCATATAACCCAAACCTGCGTTACCGAAAATCTGAGCAGCCATAGGAGCCTTTTGATCGAATCCACGCTCATTAGCCATGACTATCGTTACATGATCTATTATTCAAAATAAGATTATCTATTACTTCTTTTGTCTCTCTTCATATTTACCCATTGGATTTGTACGATCTGAAAACGTAGACGTAAGAGATCCTCTCATCATTCTTTCAAAACCCAAAGCCATCGCACAGTCAACTGAACCTGAAGCTACGGCGTTACGTGCTTGATAAAGTGCAGTAGAGCCCGTGGAGCAGTTGTTATTGACATTAATGATGGGAATCTGAGTCATGCCAAGTTGATAAAGAACACGCTGACCAGCAGTACTGTCACCATAGACATAACCTACAGTTGCATATTGTACTTGATCGTAAGAAATACCAGCGTCATTCAATGCTTTTACAGCTGCCTCAAGGCCAAACTCTACACAGATGTAAGCAATTGATCATTCAACTTGATATTTTTACCTGGATAGTCTACTTCACCACGAGGCTTAATGAATTTGGACATACCAACACCAATAACATAGACCTTATTTGCAACCATCTTTTTTTTTTTTTGAAAAAAAAATTATGTAAAGAAAAAAACCCGCAAAAAGGAGTGAGAGCGAAATAAACTTTAAATGCTCTCTTTCTGTGGAACCCATAAACCAACCTTTTTTTTTCTTTTTCTGCATAACAAAAAGGGGGGAAGGGGGTAATTTATTCTACCGACGATGTGTACAAGGTTTTTAGTTCTATTTGTAAAAATAAAAGGTTTATTTACAAAGGTTCATGACCTGAAATCATCCAATTTTTCAATTAGCAGTTGACATCTAACGTGTAGTCGACTATCCCAATCTGTATCACCCGTATTATCCGATGTGATCGAATCATTCAAACTACTGCTGTCTACATTGTATCGATGAGCTAATTGCTTTTCACACTTTTGAATCCAATTCTGAGCTTCCTTCAACAATCTCTTTTTCGCCTTCTTTTCTTTTGTTTCTAATAGTTTAAAGCATTTCAAAGCAGCCATTTCGTAATAAACATGAGGTAGAACCCATTTATCTTCACTGGTTCCATCCTCTGATCGTATCGCTTGTCGTAAATAAGTCTCGGCAAGATCATGATGGCCCAACTCTCGCACGTTCACACCCAGCAGCAAGTAAAGCTGACAACAGTCCGGTCCGATCTCTTCTTTTGTCAGAGTCTCTAGTGTGTTCTCTATCGCACCCCTCATGGCACAAAGCATATTGGGTGTCAGCTGCGAGAACCCGTTCCAGAGGTAGACGAGCTCCCACAGTGGATTCACGATCACGGCTCGCTTCAGGCTGGAACCATCAAGGACGATATCATCCAGATTGACATCATGTTTCCCCTTGACACACCTAGATTTCCACTGCTTGATCTTTCGTTCAGCAAAGATTTCATTAGGAAGTAACTTTCCGCCCAGCTGTCTCTTTCGTCTCAGAATCGTCGGTATCTGCATAAATTCAAGAGCAGATTTTTCGTACTCCTCATCAGCAAACATACAACAGGTCGCAATGTAGTGATAAAAGGCCCTCGACCAGTTATTCATACTTTCCAAACGGAAAAATGTCTCGGATGCTTGAAAATAATCACCTAAAAAGATTTGCCCCCTAATAATAATAATAAAAGTTAAAGGAGAGCCTCCCTTAATTTTGCAAAAGCTTACCATCCCATTTCATACACAGCCAACGCTTGTAGTTGAGCTAACTCACAAACATTTTTCTTTTGAGATTGGACAGGTCGACCTGTCGATAGGTCGGTGCGCACACTCTCTCTACGCCTGGCGTCCCTTAGGATCTCTACCCCTCGTCTCGTCTTTCCTTCCATTTTACATAATTTGCCTTCAAGCAGTTTCCATATTTTACCGGCTGGAAATGAATGCTTCATCTGGTCGAGTATTTCTCTAGCGTTTTCTAAGCTGAGTGAGTTGGGTAACAGTTGAGGGTGTATAAACAAGGATAGGTTGGTATAATAAGCAAGTAAAGAGAGCGCAGAAAGAGAAGAGTAAAGGCCAAAGTTTTTAAATGATTTTTGAAGTAGATGAAGAGCAAATGGACGAGATGATTGAAAGCCCAAGGTATTAAGTAGTTTGTTGACTATGATACAAGAGTTAGAAGATATATATATATATATACAATATAGATGCTTACTTTTGGGTGGCAATAGTGAAAATACGAGACTAAATAGGCCGATACCAAAAAAGATGCCACTTTCTATTGCATTCTCAATAATGACAAAATCCTCATCGATACAATCAATGGCTGATATAGGTCTCTTTTTTTTTCTATTATCGGTATATTTGTATTTGCGTATGTATGATGCATATTCAGATGCCTTTTGGCCTGTCAAGGCTTCAAACATTTGTTCATACAGTTTATAAGCTTTCCTTAGCTTATAGGCTGCCTTCATGTATTCTAACCAGCTATTTCTCAAGAATTGTATTGTTGATGACATAAGCATACAGTTGGTCGCTAGTAATTCATACTGTATCTCTGGTTTGACTACTGTTGGCGAGCTATGATGACTACCGTTACTATGATCACCGGTACTGTTACTACTACTATCAAAAGAGACAACCTCTATTATGTCGTCTTCTAATTTAAATTTATGCCAACTATTTCGTCTCCGCACTTTTTTGATAAATTGTTTCGATAACAGTTCTGCTGCCGTTATCCGTTCAAGTGCAATCTTTATCTTTTCTGATTCAAACCCGAGCATGGCTTCTACATAGGCAATTAAAGCAAATCCAACAGCATGAAATGGTGATTCCTGGTGATGTTGCATAAAGATCGTTTGTGCCAATTCAAATTCATCATCAAAAAAGGCATCCTTTTCATTACATGTTATTATCATTCTATAAACATAAAAAGCTTACCAATCCTCTTTGGGTCTCACTTATCCAATAAGCAGTTAATTGTGCTGAAGGTGATATCGAATCCTCTCTTGAACTTGTTAATCCAATATAAGCTGCTGTATTATTAGCTGCATATTTTATGGAGGATGTGGTTAATTTAGATAGTGTATTTAATTGTCGGAGCATCCCCCCTCCTTTTTATATATAAAAAAAAGCACAAGAAAGAAAAAAAGAGAAAAGGGAAGAGAAAAAAAATAGATTTATTCTCCTTTTTGTTATTTACTTTAAAAGGAGATCCCCTACGTTGTCAATTATGGATGTAACACATTGAAATGAGGATCCGATGGTTCTAATAAGGTTTAAACTTTCTACTCTGCTTCAACTTTTCAATCTTGGCTTTATCTTGTTCAAACTTCTTTCTCAACTCCGTCAACTGGCTCATCTTTCTGTCTCTCATTTGGAATCTATAAAAGTCAACCAATTCCTTCTTCTTTGGCTTATTTTTGATCTCTTCTGCCATATCTGTCGAGACTGCGCCAACACTGATCATACCATCTGTCGTCTTGGTCTTTTTATGTCGAACAACCACCGTGAATCCGTCCTCGTCCATCTTGTTCATTCTTTCTAATGTCTCTCGTTCCTTTCTATATTCATCTTCCTTGAACTTTATCATAAATGTATCTACTTCTTCCTGCAGTTTCTTTGCATCTGGCCTTGATAATTCATATTTCAAAATATATCCTACACATCATTCTATTTTAGCATCATTTCATAATACTCTTTATTATTATTGTTGTTCACTTACGTTCAAAACCTAATGGTTGCTCACTCTCATTCTCTTTAGCCCACTTCTTTTCAACACGCTGCATATTCAGCACTTCGCTTATATCTTGACTCTTTTCAAAGACAACATGCGCTGAAGATCCACTTGCGAACAATGGTCTTAGTTTTCGGTTACTGTCTTGTTCTATCTGTCCTTCGTGTCCCTTAAAGTCATGGTATGTGATCTCTGTGATATTATGTCCTTTAAACAATTTTCTAATGTGTCTATCTGTTGTGTCAGCTGGTAAGTTGAGTAAGAATAGAGTGCGATCGCTCGTTTTGTCTTGAGCTGATTTGCTTTCATGTTTTCTAATGTACAAATAGTGACGCACCTTGGCGTCATTCATCACAATAGGAAGGATCTTGAAACCTTGAAAATCTTCTAATCGTGTCACTGTATTCTCTGTATGTTTGATGCTCTTTTTGTCAACTGCCATTGTTTTCAGAACAAATAAAAAAAAAGAAAAAAAAAGTTAAACTGTGTGTGCGTGTGTGGCGTACATTAAAAATAGTCACACTTTCCAAACTCGTTCATCCCGTTTTCTCCCCTCGGACGTTTTTAACGTTTCAGTATTTGTTTAGTTTTTTGTGTAAAAGGGTGTACTCTTTTTTTTTGATAATAAATAAACAGAATAGTCATGTTCAATATTAACTTCTCAAGCAAGTGTGTGGTATCTGAGGAAAATTGTTCAATCCAGTAGAAAATAACAGAACCAAAAGGAGAGTAAAGGTTACTCTGGATGCGTTCACGAGCTCTTGAGTGCTTTATGAGCTCGAATATACTTTGTATGAATCGATCATCATTTTCAGCAACATGCATCCACATTCTCTCTATACATCTTTGGAGGCCATCATGAATATCCATTTTTGTATAAAAGATTAGCTCTGTTATAAAGCAAAAGGAGAACAAGGAGACTTGGGTCATGCGCTGACATCATTAGCCTATCGTACATTGCTCATGACCACTACTATCATTATCCTTCACACACACACACGCACGCACACGTACCATGACCTCAACAGATTTTTTAAGTATCCTGATTTATTCTATATATCATATGATCATCCATGCACACTGCTGTCAGGGTCGAGATTTTGCAGGAGAAGGATCGATAGGGATAGGGATATCCTCAGGGGTAACATCTGCCTTGACCTTGGAGTAAATAGATCCCATAATCCTCAGGCCAAGTGCTCTGTTCCTCAAGGTCTCCTTGGACACTGTTGGATCACTCAGCACTTTATCACAAACCTCACGCAAGACACTCTCTATTTCCAATTTAGAGCCTTTCCATAGAGCCTCAAGACCCTAAAGACATAAACACGTTAAATATACATCTCTTGTCATATTAAAAAACAGATACCTTTGTTGTTGTCTCGGCTGTCAATCTATGTATTTCATCTTCTGTCAAGCTTTCATTTTGTTCGGCCTTTTGGAGTTCAGCAAACGTCGATTGCAAGTTGATGACTGTCCGCAGAGTGTCCACGGTCTCACTGATGATATATCCTTTTTCTTTCATTGAGTGAAAGACGCCTCCGAGCCCAAAAGCCACGCTTTTATTGAGGTATTGTGTTGCCTTGGTCAGATAAGTATTACCTATCGTATGTAGCAATTCGACTCCATGACCTTCATGTTTTAAACCCTCAGCCTCTATCTGTACAATATTTGAAAAAGCCGCACTTCTGGCCTCCTCAGAGATATCGTTCAGTTCTGTGTACAGACTTAATTTACTAATCAGTCTCGTCACCAATTTGTCCACTCTGGCCTTTCGCTCTGCTGCTCTGGCCTCCTCTAGCTTCTTTTTCTTTTCTTCCATCTCTGCCTTTTGCTCAGGTGTCTTTTTAGTATCATCATGTAATTCCATGACTTCCTTCATCTGTCTTCCTATCGATATCTCTCCAACCAGGTCCACAAAACGTTCTCCGCCAAATGCTTGCTTAAAGAATTCTTCAGGATCAGCTGATATATAAAGTTAGAAGTGGCGATACACACAAGATATTACTATACCAAATCCTCCATCTGGTTTGATACCGTTTTCTTCACCGTATTCATTGTATCTCTTTCGTAATACGGGGTCTGATAGAACCTGATAAGCTTCTGATATCTTTTTAAACTATATATAAAAAGAGGAATGAGTTTGTTACTCGTAATATTCTGATGATGATGACACACACTGTATCTTCTGCACTTGGATTATTTGGATTCTTATCAGGATGATATTTGATAGCCATTTTTCTGTATGCCTTTTTTATTTCTGCATCCGTTGCTGACGGTGATACTTCAAGGACGTCATAATATTCTGTGGAAGCCGGATTTTCGTCTACATACACACAAAATGGTTTATATTGCTTTTTCTTGTTTTGTTGAATAAATTACCTGTTCCTTTCTTCTTTGTTGACCAGCGTTGATTTGTTTTATTGTTGTTGACTTTAGTACCTGACGCGTCAATGTCGTAATTGGAAACCTTGTGGCATGACCAACATTCCACTTTGACCTTTAGGTTTTTTATTCCTGGTTCTGGTAAGAATTCGAGCTGAACTGAACATTCTTTACACACAGTCTTTATGTAGGGCTCAACCTTTCTTGAAGGATAAACCATGAGAATAATAATAAAAGAAAGAAATGGTCATTCTTCCATTTTGGGAAGTGCTGCGACTTTTTATAAATATTTTCCCCCCTTTTCATAGATGACACTATATAAATTATCAAGCGTTCTTTGGATAATAAGTGCATTTATTGATCTGCCAGGCTTGTAAAATAGGAGTCAAGGGTATTTGTACTATTGATGAACAATGCATCGTCCACAGACACGAGCAATTGAACAGGATAAACTGACATGGATTTATAAGTTGTCTTTATCACAGGTTTATCATCGTTATTATCCTCTTGGAATATAAAATCCCTTTCCTAATTTTAAAGAATAAGCAAAACAGCACAATGTATACACTCTTTTACGTACTGAAATGACCATGTTATTCTGTATCTTGAGTGGCACAAATCGATATAAAAATCGAAATCCTTCTACTGATATATAATGAATAAGGGGGATGGATGTGTCCTAATGAATCACTTCTTACAGTCAACCGCACGGTTAATCTCTTCTTCCTTCTTTCTTTTATTTGCTGATTTTCCTTGACTTATGACAAGGTTTTCGACAATGACTGGATAAAGGGCTTCAAGAAGCTGAGGATGTATGTTGTTTTCATTGTACCAATCAATTTTATCTTGAGGCAAATATATTATGACTCGAAGCGCCTATTCACTTTAAGGACTCTATTTCAAATATGTTGTTATTTCTTACAGTATTGTTTGTAATTTGCAAATGAATGACATTTTGTGTATTCACCAACATTATGCAAAATAAAGAAAAAAAGAAAAGAAAAAGAAACTCAGCGTTGGAAAGAGATAAAAAAAAAAGGGGGGGGCTTTGTTTGTTTTTGCGCCCAATGTCAGGACAGAGTACACCTAATCTTTACAATGATTCATCTCTTTTATTACGGACAAGAAAAAGTGATAGAGATCTTGTTGGTTATGATGTAAAAGAGGACAAAAAACCTGTTTACGAAGTCATAGAAATGGGCGAAGTTACCAAGTGGAATCCTAATGCAAAACAGAATAAACGAAAATGGGCTCTTCTTCAAAACAAGGTATGAAACGTATAATATACATATTCTTAATAATGACGTTGACAGCCTTATATCGCATTGGCGCTATGTATGCTCATATTCTTGGGATTTGTTATCAACACAAGGTTCCAAAGAAAGATTCCGAATAGACACCAGTTATTTTTCAATGGCACTACTTATTTTGATACCACTGTCATACTGCTATCACTAGATGGGTTTAGAAATGATTATCTAGACAGAAAAGTAACACCAAATATAGAGAGCATAGGTAGATACTAGATACGATACCACACACACATTCTAAATATATTCTATCATAGGCAAAAGAGGCATATTTGCTGAATATATGAACCCTTCTTTTCCTGTAAGCTCATATATTCATAATCTCCCTATATCAACCATTAACACTATGTCAGTCCATTACTTTTCCCAATCATTGGACATTAGTCACCGGACTTTACCCAGAAGCACACGGCATTGTCGCGAATGAATTCTATGACCCTGCTTTGGGCCAAGACTTTATTCACAAGAACGAGTCTATCAGCAGCGACCCTAAATGGTGGAAAGGTGAGCCTATCTGGATCACGAGTAAAAAACAAGGCAAGAAGTCTGCTGTTATTATGTGGCCAGGCTCCAACGCCAAGATAGACTCCCTTTCTCCAGATTACTATCAGTCTTACGTTAGAGAAATAACAGCACAAGACAAAATGGACACGGTGTTGAACTGGTTAGATTTACCCATGGATGAACGCCCTCAGTCCATATCAGTCTATATCCCACAAATTGACCAAAAGGGCCATGGTGGTGGACCTAATGGAGGACAGGTAAAAAAGAGAGAATAGGAAAAGAAAGAGGAATGAACCAATGGAAACTTTATAGTTGAACTCTGTTCTAACAGATATGGACAATGCCATTGGCTATCTACTGAAAGGGCTAAAGCAAAGAAATTTAGATTCGCATGTTCATGTTGTGGTGGTAATATATATAAATGCCTTATTTAAAAAAAATAACGCTTGAAGTAGGTAAGTGACCATGGCATGGCTCCTTCTGATCCATCAAGATATATCTTTTATGACAAGATTTTATCGGATGAATCCCAATCTTATCTACGTCCAAGAGAAGCATGGCCACTGCTCGGTCTTCGTCCCAGAGACGACGCTCCTGAACACATCACTGATCAGATCTATCACGAACTTCAAACATATACAGAAACTCATGATGATGTCCACTTTACATTTTATCGCAGAGAGGAGATGCCTTCTCGGTTTCATTATAACGCCACAGAACGAATAGCGCCTATTGTGATGATACCCGATGTTGGCTACGCCATCATTCGCAGCACAGAAAGAGCGCCAAAAGGCATCCACGGATACGACAACTTGGCCCCAGAGATGAGAGCGATATTTGCTGCGACTGGTCCAAAGATCTCAGAGCATTACGGTAAAGGAACACGGTTAAGTCCGTTCTTTAATACTGAAGTGTATGCCTTCCTTACAACTTTGCTTGACCTTGTTCCGGCCCCTAACAATGCTACTCTAAATGGCGCTTTAAAATAAAATTTAGATGATTCAAAGGAAATGGTTTATTATTATTTAAAAAAGAGAGTTGCTGTACAAAAAGGGGGGAATATATAAAAATCACTTTTTTTTCTTTCGATGCGACTATGCATATATAAATATGTATAAAGTATATGTACGCGAGATGTAGATTATTAAGAACGTTCACCACGGAGACGACGAGCGAGTTGAATATCCTTGGGTTGAATAGTAACACGCTTGGCGTGGATAGCAGCCAAGTTAGTATCTTCAAAGAGAGAGACCAAGTAAGCTTCAGAGGCTTCTTGAAGGGCACCAATGGCAGAAGATTGGAAACGCAAGTCAGTCTTGAAGTCTTGAGCAATTTCACGAACAAGACGTTGGAAAGGGAGCTTACGGATCAAGAGCTCAGTGGACTTTTGATAACGACGGATTTCACGAAGAGCGACAGTACCGGGTCTGTAACGATGAGGCTTCTTGACACCACCAGTAGAGGGAGCAGATTTACGGGCAGCCTTGGTAGCCAATTGCTTACGAGGGGCCTTACCACCAGTGGATTTACGAGCAGTTTGCTTAGTACGAGCCATTTTGTATAATTTTTTTTTTTAAAAGAGAAAAAAATAAATAAAAAAAGGATAGAGTATTTATATGTTTGTCAAAAGTGGTCACACGAATGTGAATCTTGCCTTTTTGGGACTACAATTGGGTATTAATTTTTTTAAAGGTTTTTTTTTTAAAAAAAAAAAGAAGGGGAGCACGAAACTTGTAAAAAAAAAAAACTATTTTTTTAAAAAAAGTTAAAAAAACAGAGAGATTGGGAAAAATGTAGTTTTTTTAAATTGAAAATGTAAAAAAATAGAAAAAAATACACTCATTGTTTACGATTGCAGGGATCGACATGAACAAATCATATTTTATCAAGAATGCAACATTGATTATTTTACGCTGCTTGTTTTTTAATTAAGCTACATGTAGTTTTTCATTTTTTTAAATTTTTTTTTTTGCTGCGCGCGCAAAGAGAGATCAAAAAAAAAAATGTAATTTTTTTTTGCAAGTTAAAAAAGAATAGCGGCAATTCAAAGTCTGGACCAAATATATAAATAGAGGGTCACTCTTTTCATTTTTTGTGATTTTCTTTATTCAAATTTAATATAACAATGACTGGTCGTGGAAAAGGTGGTAAAGGTCTCGGAAAGGGTGGTGCCAAGCGTCATCGTAAGATTCTTCGTGATAACATTCAAGGTATTACCAAGCCTGCTATTCGTCGTCTTGCCCGTCGTGGTGGTGTCAAGCGTATCTCTGGTCTCATCTATGAAGAAACTCGTAATGTCTTGAAGACTTTCCTCGAAAACGTTATTCGTGATGCTGTTACTTATACTGAACATGCCAAGAGAAAGACTGTCACCTCTTTGGATGTTGTCTATGCTCTCAAGAGACAAGGCCGTACCCTCTATGGTTTCGGTGGTTAAATTATATAGTACATTTCATATATTCTTCATACCTTTTCTCTTTTTTTATTTCTTTCTCTTGTAAATATAATTCTTTCTACACAATAAATATTTTTATATATAAAAGTTCATCCAACATGTGTTTCTTTTTTCTTTTCCTTTTTTTTTTTTCTTTATGAGTGAAACGACAAGAAAAGTATTTTTTAGACAACAATTAAACAAGACGATTCAATTATTTCCTTTTTCATTTGGTTATTTAACTGTAACTGCAAAGGGACTTAATTTTCCCTTATCTTTTACAACTCAACCTCATTTGCAATTAAAGAACGACTTGAAACTGATCACAATGGGTGAAGAATTAAAACCATCTATTTCAACTCCCATCATTAGAACTACATTAAACCAAATAGAAACTTCAATATCAACACCTGTTCACAGTCCTATTCGTAAAGCACCACGTCCTTCAACTTCAGCACGTACACCTTCTGCAGCACCTATTCAAATAAAAAATAGCATATCGATACCACTACGACATAAAAAGACACATCAAGAACAGAAAAGAGAAAGACAGCATAAAATAGATGAAGATGAAGAAATGATAAAACCGGTGACGTTGGCTGAAAAAAGAGAAAGACAGGCAAAGAGAGCATATCAAATAAAGACATGGAAAGTGAGGGAAGAAAGAGAGGCGAGAGAAGCGAGATCGTTATTAAGGAAAAGAATGATGAATGGACCTAAGAAAGAGACTGACGTAATTGAACATGTTCAACAAAAGAAAAAGGGAGTTCGATTTAATTTAAAAAAGAACAAGATTATTGAATTGACTAAAGATGAAGAAGATTGAAGTGTATTATTTTTTATTTCAATAATAAAGCAAGGAATATATTTTCATTTGCAATGGAAATAGTGTATGTACAAAAAAATATATAGAATAGTATGTGTATGAATATGAATTAATTTAGAGTTCTTGAGAAGCACCAGCCTTCTTTGACTTGGTAGGCAATAAGGAAGCATGGATATTAGGAAGAACACCACCTTGAGCAATGGTAACATGACCAAGAAGCTTGTTCAATTCTTCATCATTACGGATGGCTAACTGAAGGTGACGAGGGATGATACGAGACTTCTTGTTATCACGAGCAGCGTTACCAGCTAATTCAAGAATTTCAGCAGCGAGGTATTCAAGAACGGCAGCAAGGTAGACGGGAGCACCAGCACCAACACGTTGAGCATAGTTACCACGACGAAGGAGACGGTGAATACGACCGACAGGGAATTGAAGACCGGCCTTGGAAGAACGGGTTTGAGACTTGGAGCCAGCTGCAGATTTACCACCAGATTTACCACCAGACATTGTTATTATATGTTATTCTTTGTTTTTTGAAAGTAGGAAAAAAAAAAATCAAAAAACAAGAATGGTTATTTATATGAAAAACAATTTCAAGCTCAGCACTACCATCCACACCTTGTCTGTCTGGAGAAAAAAAACAAAAAGGTTCTTCAACAAACACCAAAAAATTTTATTCTGTGGATTGATTTGTTTTGCTCTATCCACGCGATAAAACGTGTTTAATCGCGCGTTTTACTTGTATTTTTTTACTTTTATTGTTTATTTGTTTTTTAACCCAGGATATCCTTTTTTGGAAATTTGTAGTAGAGTTGCAGATTATTTTTTTTTGTTTATTGTTTTTTTTTTTTTTCGAGAAAAAAAAGGACAATTTAACTTGGTATCACAGTCACACAAATACGCTTGAATAAACAGTATATAAACAAGTGGTCTTTTTTTTTCTTTCCTTTTTATCATTTATCACATATATCATCATGGCTCCTAAAGAATCTACCTCTGCTCCCGCCGCTGCCCCCAAGGCCAAGACTGGTGACAAGAAGAAGAGACTCGCTCGTCGTGAGACTTACTCTTCTTATATCTACAAGGTCTTGAAGCAAGTTCACCCTGATACTGGTATCTCCAACAAGGCCATGTCCATCTTGAACTCTTTTGTCAATGATATCTTTGAACGTATTGCCACTGAAGCCTCCAAATTGGCTGCTTACAACAAGCGTTCCACCATCTCTTCTCGTGAAATTCAAACTGCTGTTCGTCTCATTCTTCCTGGTGAACTCGCCAAGCACGCTGTCTCTGAAGGTACCAAGGCTGTCACCAAGTACACCAGTTCCAAATAAGTTATTTAAATCAATCAAACTATCTCTCTTTGCGCATATATTATTTCAATTCCATGTCAATGCTTTTTTATATTGTACAGAAAAACTTCTATATTCAAAATATTTATTTTGATATCCCTTTTTAATAATAATAAAGTCCATTAAAAATGTATATAAAAATTGATAACAAAATCATTGTGTGTATATATATTTTTCATTATGTTATTTTATTCATTATTTCAGAACGTTGTCACTGCTCCTTGATCATGTTTTACTAGAGTGAAAATATATACACATTCTCAACATTTCATTAGTTTTCATTTTAAAATTAATCTTTATTTTTCTAGATCCACGTTAATTTCGGGAGCAAAATAATAAAAATGAATACAATGTAATGTAAACAGACCAACAATTATGAAAAGACATCTACATTACATTCAGAAATGTAAGCCAAAAAACACACAAAAACAAGCGTAAAAACCACGTGATGTTCGGATTCCGGCAATTTCCGGCCCGTAAAAGATACTTCTTGTAAAAATTTACAATCACAGTTTTCGTGAAAGCGCGGATGGTTAAGTGGTATAATCTTCGCCTGCCACGCGAAGGGCCCGGGTTCGATTCCCGGTTCGCGCACTTCTTTTTGTTTTTTTTCTTGATCTATTCTATTGTTTTGTTATTTAAACAAGCCGCAACGTTTTACTCGCAAAACTCAATCGTTTTGGCCTAAAATCTAACTCATTTGACTTCAATTTGATGATTTTTTACTGAGCTTTTGAATTGAACCTTTAATTACTTTTTTTTTTAATCAGATACTTGCATCAATCCAATGATTGACTAATTTTTTTTTTTTTTCATTGTTGTTTATTTCAATTGAGTCATTAACTTTATTTCAAATAAAATTTATTAAAAAGCTTGTAAACATAAGCATGGAGTATGCCTTTTTTTTGTCTATTGCAAATCATTTGTTATTATTTACATAAATAGTTTTGAATTAATTGAAATAAAGCAATACTTCACTTGATCTATCAAAAAACATATACAAACCAATTAAATAGCGGTATTTTTTTAATCCAACTTGTACATTACCTACTTGACCTTATAAACTAAACTATATGTAAATCAAATTTACAATGAATGTATTTTTCAAAAGAATACATAACTTACTTAACCACTAACAAAAGTAAATCACGTCAAATAGACTTTATAATCTTTTTTGAATTGATTAGTACACAATTGTTATTGTCAAAACCATAGCTTTATTTATAATTTATGATTGTAGCATAAAATAAGTCGCTACATTTGTAGGCGTTTTGAACTATAAAGCATGTAGGAAGAATATATTTGCAATAACATAAGCTTCTTTAAATGATAGTTGTATTGTTTTAGTATGCTTTAAAGAATGCAAATGTTTTCTGTGAATGCTTGTGATTTGGTTATTTTTTTTTTTTCTTTTTGTAACAAGTCTATCTATCATGGACAAGCATCACAGACTATAAAACTTGACAGTGTTAAATTAATATTGATTAATTGTGCCTTTTATTATTATTATTTTTTATTCTTTCTATTTATACGTGATATTACATGAATAAACAATGCCATGTTGTGCAATATAAAAAACCAAGTTATCTAATGAGCAAAACTCATAGCATGTAACCTGTTTAAATCATCTTCAACGATAGATTCATAAATTGTATATCGAATATTATTTCAATCTTCAGAATCATCGTGTGATTTAAATCAGAAGAGCAATTATTTTTTAGATCTAAAGCTTCTTCGTACACCATCATCCTTTAATGCCACTCTAACCTTTCTCGCTATAGTTTACCCTTCCCATCGTATCTATATTTACAACAATTTATAAACCATTTTTACCTTTTCGCCACGGATAAACGCTTCTTTCCAAAGTTCTAATGATTCTGTTTTGTGAGAGTCAGGCCAAAGGTATTGCTTTCCCTTTTTTGAAAAATATTACCAGATTGGATTATGTGCACACAAGATATGTTCTTTAGAACATCTGAACTTGTAATTCAAAAGAGCAGTTGTGTTATTCTTTTTATACTTTACAAGATTGTTCACAGTTATCATTATATATGTCATAAGGGTGATTTTGTTCTGTAGTTGGTAACAAAGAAAAATGTAACTGCAGCATTAAACCAACCAGCTTCTTTTCAGTTATTACTATTACAGTAATCCTCTCTATTTCTAATCTTTCATAAGTTATGTTTGCCTACTTTTGAAAGCAGTCGTCTGTACAAGTGCATTGTCAAGATGGATTAGGCAATACAAATTAAAGAGGCGATAGCAGTAATGGCCAATGATAACTGAGCAGGAGATAACGAATTGATACATGACAGTTATTATTACCTCTAATTTTATCTCATTCTTTTCTTTATTGGCTTAGATAACTGTAACTGAAGGCCCCTAATAAGCCGATATAAAAAAAAAAAACTTGCCACATCCATAATTTCCACGAAATATTAAAAGATTTTAGCTCTTGATAGATAAACATTGAAGAAGAGGGGAATTTGTCACACTGCACTTTTATTAGCGTATATGTTCATTACGTTTACTGTTACAAAATTTGCCAAGATGGCGTAGCATTCTTTTTTAACCATTTCTTTCTTTTTCTTTTCACACAACTATCCCGATCATTCCTTTTCCTTACTAATCTTATGCTAAAAAACAAGCATCCTGACCCTATTGCCTCATCCATACGTATTGAATTATCAGAAGGCTTTGGTTGGGAAAGGGGGAATGTCCAAGTCTATGGTCCTGGCACTTTATTTCAAGGCATGTATGTAGTGTTGATAATCAAAACAAGCGACTCACTTTTTAATAATAATATCAAAGGTCACGTCATTCTACGAACCAATGCACACTCAAGGAAAGCGACTACACTTCGACTATTGTTCCAAGCTACGGAAGCGATGCTAAACCATGACCTTGGTCCTGGTGTCCAGCGATCACATACGTCCAAATTGTTTGGTGTCGCTACTAACCTGTGGGAAAAAGGTCCAGACAATGAACTTCAGCCAATGGCTACCTACAAATTTTTATTCACCATTCAGATGCCAATGGTTCAGTTCCCTCCGTCTGTCGAGCACCAGTACTACCGATGCAATTATAAATTAACAGCCTATTTGGATCCGTCTTTAGCCTATAAGGAAGTGCCCGTCATGGCACATACATGTGTCAATTACATTCCTTTAATTGAGACCAAGCTACTAAAGTCACCATTAACACTAACAGACGTGAAAAGGCGGATGATCCTGCAAGACTTGCGGTTGAATATTTCTGCCACGGTGAAGCTGCATGCAGTCGAATACGTTGCAGGTGACATGATTCAGGCAACAATCCGTGTAACGGATATACACAGAAATAAGAACAAGAATCGCTCCTTGACGCTTAACGATCTGAGCGTTACGATGAGTGTTTTTCAAATTTCAAAGTTTAATTCGGATAATAAGCCTATACTGAACAAACTTGTTGCTACAAGAACACACATTCTGAAGAACAATAGACAGCGCGTGGACAATACACAAGATGACACAGGCCAGATCCATCAGGTACAACTTGAGCTAGACGAGTCACTGCCTCCTTCCATGGAATTCAGTGAAATCATGTCCCTGTCGTACAAACTGGTTATTTCTGTTCACAAAACTATAGTTACCACCAAGAAAAACAATAAAAAGCTCTTGAACATTAAGAACTTGCTTCTTCCGTGGACAAATGACTTGCACATCTTTGAGCAACCTATCATTATTGGAACCATGGGAAGAGGAATTCGCACGGGTGACGAGTTGGATGTATATTCCAAGTACAAAAGGACGGATAATCCCATACCACACCCTAAATTCTTACAAACGGTCGAATACGAAGATGCGTTGCCCTTATATGACCCAAGTCGATTACCATCTTATCATAACCTGTCACGGAGTAATAGTTCTACATAGGCATGATGATTGTTATAGTATTGTATTATGTTTTTTTTTTTAAAAAAAGTCATGTATATTTTCTCTTGCACCAAAATAAACAAGAACATGTATTTACAAAGAAAAGGTTGAAAACCAAGGTTATTAGAGTGTACCTTATACTCTATGCGTATAATTTCTTAAAAAGGTGTATGTATTTATAGTAGCTGATTACGTAAGTTCTTAGAATTCTGTGCATGCATCTCGATACAACAGTAATGGTTATTTATGGACCATTGCTTTTGTTTTCTTGTACATGGTAAAATTTGGATCTTTTTTGCTTATTTTAAGCTTTTCTTGCGGTTAAATAATCAAACGTTCGAGCTAATATTATCAATGTACATATATATGGGTCTGTGTGTATGGTGTTTGCTGAAGCATCCAGCTCATATCATCTCTTGGAAACATAATTCAAAAATTATGATAATCATTGAATCCTTTTAGGTATGCTCAGCTAAATTTCTTCATACTTTGAAGTATCCTTTTATATCTATAAAACAAGATATTCTGCTGAAACATATTTTGTTGCATACCTTTGACCTACCAAGATATTGATCAGACAAAAATGAGTTCTTTTCTCAATAAAACCAAGGGCAATGAAGAATTAAACAAATATCGATTGATCAACATGGAGATTTACACACTTTAGACGCAATGCACTTTAGACCTTTTTTTAATCCAAATATTTAATTAAGAAAAAGAGAATATAATGTCTCACAAATACAGGTTTACAAAAATCGAAAGATGCATCATTGTAAAGTTGTTTATTGGCTGAGCAAAAGAAGAAGAGGAAGGGGGAGATCGTTTCAATAGAATCATTTGTTGCAAGATGTACATAATATGCTTGTTTTAGAATAACCCTGATGTTGTTTGCAGATATACACTTGTACTTTCTCTTTCTCTCTTTTTTTTTTTCGTCTTTTTTTTTTGCATGATTGAGGATTGGCCTGTTGATCCACTTATTGACATTCACATAGAATTACTTCCAGAATTTGGTTTTACAGTTCAAAACGAACCAGTGTATGGCCCTGGTTCCGTATTCCAAGGTAATTCATCACTAGTAAAAAGAGGATTTGCTATTAAAAATCGAGTCAAACAGGCATTGTCCATCTCAGACTGAAGGAAGTACCAGTAGCTGCAGATAAAATCATTCTTACGTTTAGAGGAGCAGAGAACGCCACGGCTATTCACAATGGCTCTTACTTTATCGTGCCCTTGTTGAAAAACACATTTTTTGGAATGCAGCAGAGTCTGTGGCAACGTACAAGAGATGATTGTCTCTTGACAGAGTCAGAATATCAATTCCCTTTTACGATTCAGATGCCAATGACCCAATTTCCACCTTCGCTTGAACATAAACTCTACCAATGCAAGTTCATTCTAACAGCCAAGCTGATCAGATCTACATTCACTCTGCCAACCGTGATGGCGCAGAAGGAGATAAACTATATGCCGTTCATTGAAACCAGTTTACTGAAGAAGCCAGTCATCACGACCAAAAACAACACAAAGCTCTCTGTTATGGTCAAGCTACATTCGCTCGAATACGTGCCTGGTGACACTATCCCGATCACTATCACCTGTTATTCTTCCCCTGCTTGTAGCCCCTTTTTTCTTCAGTCAAACAAGGCAAAACGTGATCAGCCGGCTGCTGTAAGCTCTATACTGGTCGAGCTTTGTGAAACTGTGGGGCTTGTGCATCGCCAAGCTTTGTCGACTAAGCGCATTGTAGCATCACACCTCTATCAAACGTGTCAAGTTACCGCAGCCTGCATAGGATCAGAGTATTGTGTCCAGCTTGCTCTGCCTATCCATTTGACACCAACTATCAATTATTCAAGGATCATCAAGATATCGTACACGCTTAGCGTCAAAGTAAAAAGCCGTCTTGGTCCATTTCACAGTTCGACGGCAGGTGTAGAGTTGCCCTTAAAGATCGGTACATTGGGTTATGGCATACGTGCGTCTCAGGACTTGCAGGTGTGTTATGTTGAGAGTCCGAGTAATTCACCTCGGTTTCTCAGATCGTTACAGTATGAGGAGGCCTTGCCTTTGTATGAACCTGTCAGATTACCTTCTTATCAAAGTTGACATCCTGTATATTTAAGTTTTCTATTGTATTTTTATACATACATACATATATATATATATATATAAATAGTTCATTTTAATGTATCTTATAAAAAAGTGGATGGAAGAAGAAGGGGGGGGGGAATACTTTATTGCGCGTCATGTCTTTTTTTTTTTCTCTTTTCTCTTTTTTAAATATTTTCTTTATTCTTCATCACCAATCTTGGGAGCCAAGTAATATCTAACATAACCAATATTGTCAAGATTATAATCAAGTAAAAGTGGAACATCTGCTGATAGATTTAAGCTGACACGAGTGGCAAGAGGAGTGGCTTTTGTAAAGTTTACAAGATATTTGACGGCAAAGGCCATGGAGACACTCTGTTGAAGTTCAATGACAGTTGATTCATCTTCATTGTCTACCGAACTGTTGGCCTTGACTGTAATGGAACCTTTACCGATCTCACCGTCAGCAGAGAATTTGATACCATCCTTTGTGCATTCAATTGTGACTGTGTTGATGTAATGTGAGCAAAAAGGGCAACTTTTTTTTTTTTCATGTTCTTACCGGAATCGCTAAGGGTAGATAAATCACGAACGATTTCTTGAAATCTAGCAGAGGGCATACGAACAACAGCTTCGTATGAAGTTTCAGGAATACCCAAATGTTCACTGTCAATGTCCATCAACTTGAGATCATATGCACTCACTTTATCACTGTCTATTGATTTATAACATTGTGAGCACTCCTTTTTCTTTTTCTTTTTCTTTTTCTTTTCTTTACCTTTGCTTTCAAATACCAAACTTAAAGCATCACCATCATCATCGGCCTTGAGTGTCACGATATCATCGTTACGAGCACACTTTAAAATCTTACCCAAGTTAGTCAAGTTGATACCCAAAGGCAAGTTACGATCACAACGGTAAGGATCAAAACCATCAGAACGGAGCATCATGGCCACCAAGGCAACATGGGAGTTATCCATAGCTTGAAGAGCAATACCGGAATCATTACATTCCAAATTGCATTCTGTGACAAGTTCCTTGACGGCTTCAAGAAGAGATTTGAGAAGTTTGGCTTGTTGGAGACGTGCTTCAAGCATGGTTTATGGCTAAATGAGGAAGATAATTTAGTAAACTTGATGTAAAAGCAATATTCTTTTGTTTTACCCTTTTTTAAATGAAAAATGGAGATAAAAAGAAAAAAAGAGTGAGTGTAAAAACACGTCTACAAATTTTTTTTTGACGTGGATGTCGGGTATCGAAACAGTCGTGACACGCGTATGTGCAGTAACGCGTATAATTTTGTTCAGAAAAAAAGAGAGACGCGTCAAGTGCCTGGGCTGCACTTGGTAATGTACTCCTAAATGAAAATCAGTTCTAGGAGTTGACAAGCGCATTGCAAGTATTACATGCATTTACGATGTGGCCTCATAGCTTGAGAGAGCGTTGAATAGATGGCCTATTTAATGTCAAACATGATTACGTATTGTTATTATTCTTGGTTATAGGATTGTAATAAAAAGTATAGAAAATGATGGTCATTTTGGGAAAAATCTATTATGCAAACTACACAAATGCTCTCTATGCATAAGAGTTTGTCTAATATTATGCTTGTTGAGACCAAACCAATGATAAATGATTCATACATTGTCGTTTCTCACAGTTTGAATGGAGAGGGAAAACTTTTTACAGTTTGACGCTTTAGATCTTTTTAGATTGTTCTATAAAAGCATTGAGAATAAGAAACTTGTTTTTTAGCATGACCGCCAAGTGTCATACGGGAATTGACACCTATAAGGAAGGTCATTCTTTTTTTTTTTTTT